TAGATTCTGGATATCAGCCCTTTGTCAGATGGGTAGATTACAAAAATTTTTTCCCATTCTGTTATTGCCAGTTTATTGTAATGAGTGTTTCTTTTGCCGTGCAGAAGCTGTGGAGTTTGATTAGGTCCCATTTGTCTATTTTGGCTTTTGTTGCCAATGCTTTTGGTGTTTTGGTCATGAAGTCCTTAACTATGCCTATGTCCTGAATGGTTTTGCATAAGTTTTCTTCTAGGGTTTTGATGGTGTTAGGTCTTATGTGGGGCTAATGTGGGGCTTTTTAATGCTGATGAAAGTGGCTTTCAGTGGGAAGAGGAGCTGAAAATGGGATGAAGTGGGAAGGTAATCTTCCCGTGGAGCTGTGCCATCAGGCTGTTCCTCTGAAGTCAAGCTGCTTCTCTCTGACTGTAGCCTCCAGTGTCCCGCTGCTTCTCCTCTTCTCTTCTCTCTGCCAGTGGAGGCTGGGGTTTTTATGGGCACAGGATGGGAGGGCTTGGCAGGCCATGGATGGTTGTGGAAAAGGCAACATTTGAGTGGAAAAACAAGGATGCATTTTCTCACTTTGGGCCACAGTTCCAGGCTTGAGAGTGGGGCTTTTACCAGGGCCCTGCCCTCTTCTGCCCAGAATTTCCCTGCCTCCTGTCCCTATCATTGATACCTGCAATTCTTTGTACCTACGAAATTTAATATAATATGGTGAGACTTGCATCTAGCTGCTGCTAGAGATAGTGCTCATAAGTTTCAATATTTATTGAGTGTGGATAATAATCCAGGAACTGTGCTAAACATTTTACAGCACATTATCTCACTTAATCTGCATAATGTAGTTAAAAATGTAGTTTTCACTTATTTGATGGGTAAAAAAACTTAGGCTCTGAAAATGATGTAACTACAAATATGGAATTGGAATTTCAAACCAATCCATTGTCTTAATCACTTCCCCATTAATGGTTCCTGTTTTATTAATGCTGATTACCTTTTCATTTTATTTGGTTCTTTGGAGTTGTTTGCATTTTGTGAGTGTCTTGGCATCTTTTTGGTAGAGAAAATTGTTAGGTTCTCACAGTGTGAAAATTAAGCAGAAAACCAGCCTTTCCAGCCTGAACTTCAAACTCTTACATTCAGTCCTGGGAGTCTTTCTTAAGGGACAGTGAGAGCAAGGGAGGGTTTCCATTCCCTGAGATGGATCGTTCCATTAGTATTTCCTTTTTGTTTTTCCTTATGATGAGAAAGAAGGGAGTTTAGCCCTCTTCCTTAGGTTAGAACGGTTCTGTTGGTTGATTTATGCACCCTGTTTTGTTGAAGCAATTGGACAACAAGGTTGTGATTATTAGCGTTGCTATCTAATAATTTATGTCACACCAAAAATTATCCTTTGCATTTTGCTACCAATTTTTAAGATTTTCTCTTAAATATATAAATTTGAATTGTTAGAATCAAATTAGAATATGTTGGTCAGGCACAGTGCCTCATGCCTGTAATCCTAGCACTTTGGGAGGCTGAGGCAGGTGGATCACTTGATGTCAGGAGTTTGACACCAGCCTGGCCAGTGTGGTGAAACCCCATTTCTTCTAAAAATACAGTACATAGCCAGGTGCGTTGGTGTGGGCCTGTAGTCCCATTTACTCATTAGGCTGAGGCAGAAGAACTGCATGAACCCGGGAGGCCGAGGTTGTAGTGAGCTGAGCTCGTGCCACTGCACTCAAGCCTGGGCGACAGAGAAAGTCTCCATCTCAAAAAAACAAAAAACAAAAAAGAATAAATTGTGTAAACCCATCACCGAGAATAACTGTTTGTCTTTCTCCCTTTCCCATCTTTCCTAAAAGGTGGAAAATTTCTTAAGTAACGAAAGTAACAAATAAGTTTGGCGTTGAGCAGGAGAGTATCTAGAGACAGGATCTGTAGATCAGAAGTGGTACTTAGGGGAGCAGGGACTCATTTTTCTTTTCTCTTTCCGCATTTGGGAGTTGGAGAGCTGTCAGATGCTGAATTTAGTTAGATTTATAATGCTGGTGACATTCAGCAGTCTGCCTTGCCTTTTCTGTTATAAAATCTTGTTTTTATTGAATTACATTTTAATATTGGTGTCACTTTAAAATGAAAATGAAGACTTGCAAAATGTATTTTTGAGGGATTGAGGGGGAAGATGTCATTCTGGCAACAGATGATCTGGGTTCAAGTTTTCTGTCTCCTACTTCCTTTGTGGCTTTAGACCAGCCCCCCACTCAGAGCCTTGAATTCCTCATCTCTGAAATGATCACAGTAAGTTCGTGCTTAGGCTCTCTCGAGAAGTTAAAATGTATGAACATGCTTTGTAATTTTTTTTTTAAGGAATGATATTAGTTAGGGTATGGTTAAGAAACAGCTGGCCCACCTACTGGGTAGGTAAAAGATTCTGTTAGTCCATTCTATTAGACTGAGAAGAGTTTAATAAAAGATTCTATTAGTTCATTCTATTGGACTGAGAAGAGTTTAATAAAAGATTCTATTAGCCCATTTTCATGCTGCTTATAAAGACATACCCAAGACTGTAATTAACAAAAGAAAAAGGCTTACTGGACTTGCAGTTCCATTTGGCCGGGAAGACCTCACGATCATGGCAGAAGGTGAAAGGCACATCTCACACGGCAGCAGGCAAGAAAGAGCTTATGTATGGAACCTCTCCCTTAGGAGACCATCAGTTCTCTTGAGACTTACTTGCTATCATGAGAACAGCACTGGAAAGACCTACCCCCATGATTCAGTTACCTCCCATCTGGTCCCTCCCACAACATGTGGGAATTCAAGATGAGATTTGGGTGGTGACACAGCCAAACCATGTCAAAGACCATTTACAGAACGCTAAGCAGCCTTAAGGGAAACCACCGAGGGACCGATGAAGAAGGGATGATGAAGCAAGGGTAGGAGATGCTTGGATAGAGCAGATGAAAGTCACAGACTGATGGGAGCCATCACTTTCAGTAGAGGTCCTGATGACCTGGGAGGGTGGGAGCCAGACAGATGGTAGTATCCCAGCCTCAGTTTCTTTCCACCCTCAGAACTCTTCCCAGTACCTCTCAATGGCTAAACCAACCAAAAGTCAGAGCCTACGGAAGCTCCTGATGCTGTCTTTATAGGGCAGCCCGTTGGGAACAGAATTGACAGAGAGGGGAAAGGAGGTGACTGCATTTGGAAGGAAAATCATAAAACACGTTTGGTTGGGCATGGTAGCTCACGGTTGTATTTGTAGCACTTTGGGATCACTTGAGTCTAATATAGGGGTGTGCAATCTTCTGGCTTCCCTCGGCCACACTGAAAGAAAAAGAATTTCATAAAACACACTAACAATTGCCAGTGACCTCAAAAAAATAATCTCATAATGTTTTAAGAAAGTTTACAGATTTGTGTTGGGCCACATTCTTAGTTGTCCTGGGCTGCATGTGACCTGCCAGCCGTGCGTTAGACAAGCTTGGTCTAACAGATTCTCCAAGGCGGGCCTGAGCTTGAAAGACTTCTACTGGGAGAGATGGCAAGGTACATTAGAAAATCGTGGGCCAGCCTGAGAAGCAGACCTGTGATACTTTGCTGTTTGAAAGTTGTTTCTCTGCACCCATTTTTCCCAGACCTAACCTCGATGTATGTTTCGGGTCTGAACATAAATGTTACTCCCTCCAGAAAGGCTTTTCCTGGATCCGAGGGATGAAGTTGGAGGCTGCTCCCGAATGCTTCCTCAGAACTCGCTAGTTCTTGTCATCACCATCAGAATACTTGGTCATTGTTTGTCTCCATCTCTGTCATCTCCTTGAGTCCTCTGAGGACAGACGTGTGTCCATCTCATTAACAGTTGACTCCCCAGTAACCAGTACAGTATCAGATACAGAGCAGTTAACCCTACACACATTTGCCAAAACTAAAGGATGAATGAATGAGAGTTCTCAGAAAAATGGGTATAAGCAATATCGTAAACCATAGTGGGAAAGTAAATATTAGAATCATTGAATCCCTGAGTTATAGAAGAATTCATTAATAGAGCTATCTGGCTACTCTTTAAAGTGTGGACATCCTAGATGTATTATCTGTGAGTCTTCACACACTTACCCACTGTGAATCTTCTCATCTACCAAACATAGGAAAATCATGTCTTCCTGAGAATGTTGTGAAGGATATGCCAACCAGTCAGAATGAATCAGCTTGCCCAGTGCTTGGCATATAGCTGCCCAGTAAACATTAGCCATTCTTTGTTATTAGAAATCCCCCTTGCATTTTAAAATCCTCGTGTATCACTGAAAATCACCTGAAACTGAAACAACCAACTGAAAACCATCAAGAGACTCATGTTTAAAGAAGATGGCCATTGTAATTTCTCTGGAAACTCAGTTTTGATTCAGATGTCCACAGCATCTCATTTCTACGTTTAAAAAGAATCTGAAACTGACATTTTGGCATGATTGGATTCATGGGTAGAGAAGATATGACGAACATTCTGGAAACCTTTTAAAGTGAAATAGAGGGAAGATGGCCGTACATAAAGGTTCATTGTCCCCCACCTTAGTCTAAATAACGACTTTCTTAAAATTACATGTTTTGGAGGAATGTCCTGCAATATGGCTTTACATCTTTTTCTTCCTTTCTTTTTTTTTGGAGATGGCGTCTCTATTGCCAGGCTGGAGTGCAGTGGCACAATCTTGGCTGACTGCAACCTTACCTTCTGGATGCAAGCGATTCTTCTTCCTCAGCCTCTCAAGTAGCTGGGACCACAGGCACATACCACCACGCTTGTCTAATTTTTTGTATTTCAGTGGAGACGGGATTTCACCATATTAGCCAGGATGGTCTTGATCTCCTGATCTCATGATTCACCCGCCTTGCCCTCCTGAAGTGCTGGGATTGCAGGTGTGAGCCACCACGCTGAGTCTATTGCTTTATATCTTAAGACTGTACATTGATATTTCCAAGCCCCCAGGTTCCTGTCCGCTGGGAGAATTCACAAAGCTAATTTATGTCTCCTTCTCTTCCTCTTCCAGTGCCTCTTTCCAGCATTGAGACAGGGTTGCATAGAGATGCTTGCACTGTGCGAACAGAGGCTGCAGATGGACACAGGATCTGCTCAGGGAGATAAGATCACCTGCTAATTCTGCTTCCTCCGTCAGAGTCTGAATGATCATTGATGGGGACCGGAGCTGGGTTAGGTCTCTGGGAGCCCCCTCTGCTTGAGTGCGGGAGATAGATGCAATGGGTAATCACTTGCTGCTATACCTTCTCTCCATCTCTTTACAGCAGTTCCGACTACTGACTTTTATTGTGTGGCAGCTAATTGTAGGATTCCATTTCTCTAAAGTGAAGGCAAGAGAGGAATGTGGTGTCTACCATCCCTGCAGCCCTTTGGCCCCTTCCCCTCCCACGGCCTTGAAATAGATGGAAAGGGGACACAAGTGTCCTTAGAAATAAAGACTTTATTTCTCTCTGATGCCACAGACCTTTGAAATATTTTTTTGAAAAGAAGGACTACCTTGGCTGTTATGGTCTGTTAATGAAAAAGGAAATTGAAGCAATCTCTTCCCTTAAATCATTAAGCTTGTGGTCTTTGTTACAATGTATGTTCACAAATTCCCAGAGCCCTGTTCCCGTTGGCTGGGATCAGGGTAAGAGAGAATCAGACTCGGAAATCCACCTCCAGTGCTTCTTAGAGGTGTAACCTAGAGCAAGGGGTTTGGCTTTCTTGGGCTGATTTTCCTCTGTGGTGAAGTAGGGATGACTTATTTAGAGTGGACTGTGAAATTCTGCACGCAAAGTTCCTTCCTTAGCACCTGATACACACAAAGCGTAAGTCATGGTTAGCTTCCAGTAATGAAGTTGCTGAGAAGTTTAGAGCTAGTGTTTATAAAGTGCTTGCCAGGGGGCCTTGTATATAGTTGGCATTCTTTAAATGCTGCCTCCTATTCTATCCTTAGGTTTAAGACACAGGCATTACACTGTAAACCACCCCCAGAGTACACATGCATTTGAAAATGTTACTGGGTATAATGTGGTGATATTCTCCTCCCTTCTGCCCTGTCTAAATGAACTGTTTTTTGTTTGTTTGTTTGTTTGTTTGTTTGTTTTGTTTTGTTTTTTGAGATGTAGTTTTGCTCCTGTTGCCCAGGCTGCAGTGCAGTGGTGCAATCTCTGCTCACCCTGCCTCCCGCGTTCAAACAATTCACCTGCCTCAGCCTCCTGAGTAGCCGGGATTACAGGCATGCGCCATCACGCCTGCCTAATCTTGTATTTTTAGTAGAGATGGGGTTTCTCCATGTTGGTCCGGCTGGTCTCAAACTCCTGATCTCAGGTGATCTGCCTACCTCTGCCTCCAAAAGTGTTGGGATTACAGGTGGGAGTCACCTCACCCAACCGAAGTTTGTAGTTTTAATGTCATGTCCTTGGAACTGTAGATAACTGTTGATTGGAGGGTGTGAGTTTCTCAGTTAAATGAATGCATGAGGACCATATCCCTCCTGAAAGGCGTGATCAGTGCCAGGAGACAGAAGCTGCCCACTGTGGGGCAGACTGAGATACTGTGACCTGCCCCGGGGTCCTGTGAGAGACTGGCCAGTAAGGTGGGCTGAATGCATCCTTACCCACTGAGCTGAGTTCTCTCTGCCTTAGGCACCCGGTGCCTTGAGGTGAAAAGGAAAGTCAGATGATTGTTCTTCTCTGGCTGCAACTTCCCACTGCCCTTATGTATCCCAGTGTATACGGTGGTCAAGCACAGTGCTATTCGAGCTTCCCCCATGAAGTCTCAGCATCAAATCAATGCAGTCCCCTGCAAAGCAAGCTGAGCATGGCACTGTGCCAGTTTAGCCAGCTAAGGTGTGGTCTATGATACTGATCATTATGATGAAAAAGAAAATGGAGAATGGTAACGAAAAAGGAGGAAGAATAGGGACTTCCCTCTAGCTGATGTGAATTCTTTTTTTAATTTCCATGTCTGCATAGCTTGATCATAGGTCTCAGCTTAAGGACAGTGAAAGCCAATTATTGAGTACTTAGTATGTACTCAATAAACTGCATAGAGACATGTCTTTTTTTCTTTTTTCTTTTGTGAGATGGAAAGTCTCACTCTTGTCACCCATGCAGGATTGCAGTGTGGCACGATCTCACTGCAACTTCCATGTCTCAGGTTCAAGAAATTATCAGGCCTCAGGCTCCTGAGAAGCTGGGATTGCAGGCATGTACCATGATACCCAGATAATTTTTGTATTTTTAGTAGAGACAAGGTTTTGCTATGTTGGCCAGGATGGTCTTGAACTCCTGACCTGAGATGATCTGCCCACCTCAGTCTCCCAAAGTGCTGGGACTACAGGGGTAACCTACCACACCTGACCAGAGTCGAGTATTTCAAGTATCAGTGTTGAGTCCCTTCCTTCCTTCCCTCCCTCCCTCCTTTCTTCTTCTGTCCCTCCCTCCCTTCCTTCCCTCTGTTTATTATCTGACTTAATCCTTGAAATAACCCAGTGATACATGGTGTACATTTTCTAGGTGGGTAGATGAAGTGTTAGGAGGATGTAACTTGTCCTAAATCATGTGTCTCTTAAGTGGTAGAACTGATTTTCTCACTGACTATAGATGCTGAGCCCATTGCTATGATACCTACTGCCTTTTAATTAAAAAAGTTACTATTTTTATTCCTCTCATCATTATTTATTACATGATTTACTTCTCCTGTGCCTTGTAATCTGACTGGTCATGCTGATACGCTAAACCATCTTTCTTGCTACTGGAAATCAATGCATGTGTGAAAAGTCATACATAAGCCCAAAGAAGGAGCTTAGTTATGCTGTTGCTATTGCGATGCCTGTCTCAGGGGCTGGAGTTAGAGCCAGGGTCCCCACCGCCCCAGTTCATGGAAGGGTAGACCAGTGCTTCCTTTTGGGTGATGAGGACGCTGGATTTGGCAGCTGGTTTTGTGTGGATTTGAAAGGGAGGTAATCAGGGGTGTACCGGAAAGTCAGAACCATTCACCCACATGTTGGTGCCACCCTGCAATGGAAAAGCTTCTGGCCTCTGCCTTCTCAGGAAGGTTGTCCGAATCCTGAGTGAGGGCTGCTTTCGAATTACTGCAGCTCTGGCCTATCTCTCAGGAGGCCTGCTGATAATCAGTAAATGAAATTCACCTTTCCCCCGATTCCTGAAAACGGAAAAGATGAGGGTTGAATTATAGGGCAAATCCTGAACACTGTCTTTTTTGAGCATGGTAGTTCGAGCTGCACAGAGGGGGGAAATTATTTTACTTGGGAGAACAAATTTAAGTTTGGCAGTTACCTGAAAGAAAATTAAGTGGCTGATTGCAAGTCCATTCTCTGGCCTTCTGAAGAAGACAGATTGTAATCTTTAATTAATCTATCACTCACACCAAAAAAAAAAAAGTGGGGCGAGGGGTGGGAGAATGTTCATATCGCATTTATTCTGGATGTCCGGGGTTGCATCTGGAAGCCCAGATAGCAATATCCAGGCATGGCTGCTTGCGCTCGGCACATTCATGTTTGTTTAGTATTTTAATTTCCCCGTGAGTTTTAAACCTGTGCGTGGTGTGCAAGCTGTGGCCTGGTGTATGCACTCTGGCCACCGGCTTTCCCATTGTAATGAAGATGGAATGACTCCATGGATGACCTCTCCGTGCCTTTGTCTGTAGCCTGCCCTCCTCTAACTGAACACCTTTCAGACGAACATGCTCTGAACTCTTGAACTGCTCATTCTGTCCTGTGAGCCAATTGCTCAAGCTACAGTTTGTCATTATATGCCTCCAAAGACTTTGTGTTTTCTGTGTTTGTCATTGAGATAGAATTTTTCATAACCCTTTACTAGTCATAAATTTGATTGTTAAGGGACTGGGTTAATCTTACTTCTAATACCGGCATGTGATTTTAAAATCCTGATTTAGGAGCATTTTCTTTCTGCTGCCTTCCTAAAATGCATGGGTGGAAACGTATAAAATATGTCACCTGGTATTGGAGGATTGTTTATTTCTGTTCATTTTGTCCTGAATAGTACCTATGAGATGCATTTGAGAACTTACCTTGTTTCTGTGTTTCTTCTGTTGCAATTTCTTCCATTACCTGGAACGGCTGCTTTGGACAGCAAGCCAGGCAATGCCCGTTCACCACTGTGGGATACAGGAGTAAAGAAGTCTTGGCAAGGAAGCAATTCCGAGACCATGGAAAGGTCTGGTGGCAGGAATGACGATTTGTGCTGCGTAATATTTCAGGAACTTGCAACTCAGTTTTGCTTTGCATCATATTACTGACAACCCTGAACATGAAATAACTCATGCCTGCCTTTCTATAGCCTTTAGCTACATTTCATTGAATTTTAGTTCTCCTCTCGACTTTGCAGTGCCTGACACATAGTAGGCGCTCAATAAGTAAGTGTTCAACTGAACTATGGTGGTTAGGTTAGTAATCGAGTGTACAGACAAAATCACAGTAGTCTCCGTTACCCTTGTCCTACTCATAAGGGAGTCTTGTGAGGATTCGTTGAAATAATTCACAAAAATACCCCGCTCTCTTTTTTTCTCTGCTAGGGGTTCTTGTCATAGAGAAGCCATTGTTGTAGTCTTAGAAAAATGCATGGCATTATTTTGGGGGAGAGGTTAGAGTAGAATTTTAGAGAGTGCATTTCTCTTCCACTAAGCAAGTCTGCATTGATAAAAAGCAGACAAAGAATACATGAAAAATATTTACTTAATTCTTGTTGACGGAAGTAGGACTTCAAGTCCAAAGGTGTTATACTGTAGAGTGCACAGATGCATTTTTAAGAATTTTCCAATTCTCTTCCATGTGTGGAGAGATTCACACGTACCTGTGTGTACAAACTGTACATGCAGTGGCTCTCTGGGAAATGAAATTTTTTCACCTTGCCAAAGCATGTTTTCCCCTCTAAAGAGAGGCAGCTGATAATTACTAATGCTAATATTTGGGTGAGGTGCAATAGATAGTCTAACACCAGCAATGATGCCCAGAGCATTTATATTTGATGCTAGAAATGTGTTCATTTTCTTTATCTTGCTATTAATGTACCTCTATTGGGCAATTTACTGTCTCTTCATAGATAGGATCTGATCCAGATCCAGTATACATTTATAAAACCACACTTGCATTTAAATACAGGCATTCCCCATTTCACAGTCTTTCTACCTTCCCTTTCCAATACCCCTTCCTCTCTCCCTGTCTCTGTCTGTCTGTCTGTCTGTCTGTCTCTCTCTCTCTCTCTCTCTCTCTCTCTCTCACACACACACACACACGAGCCCATCCACCAGCATAAACTGTAAACATGGTTTTTCCACCCTCACACTTTCTTCAGCCTCAATCTGTGTTCAACATCTGCCTGAGAGTAATGTATTCATCTATTTAGATATGGTTAGAAAAAGCAAAACAGTAACAATAGAATCTGGACAGGATTAATGTCCTGCAGGAAGGAGCAACAGAAAGAAACAAATCAAGAACCCAGGTGCTTTTTATAGGTTAATCGTGCAGGGTAATCATTTATTCCTTTGAAAGCGCATCTTGATTCTGAGCTTTGGTTCCACATGTTAGAATTGTGTTTCCGGGCCTGGGTTTTCCCCTTGCCTGTTGTGTGTGTTACTCCAGCACATTTGCTGATTGCAAATATCCTTGACTCTTCTCATGGGCTTTACTAGTACTCATGAAATCATTGATGTGGGGTAAAAGGAGAAGAGGATTCATTTTATTTTTGACACATAAACAAGATGTCATTTTACCAGTTGCTCATGAATGCTGATGTTTCCTGTGGGTCCCTGACCATGAAATCTGCGTACACTGGTTACACTCGGGGCTTGATGGTTAGCTCCTGCATGAGCTCTGAGTTTCTGTGGATTCCTATAGGCTCCTGCAGATTTTATCCAATGGACATTGTGTTTAAAAAAAAATAGGATCTCATTATGTCACCCAGGTTGAAATTCAGTGGCACGATCATAACTCATTACAGCCCCAAATTCCTGAGCCCAGGTGATCATCCCACCTCAGCTTGAGTAGCTGGGACTACGGGCATATGTTACCACGCCAGGCTAATGTTTAAAAATTGTTCATGGAGGCCGGGTGCGGTGGCTCATGCCTATAATCTCAGCACTTTGGGAGGCCGAGGCGGGTGGATCACGAGGTCAAGAGATTGAGACCATCCTGGTCAACATGGTGAAACCCCGTCTCTACTAAAAATACAAAAATTAGCTGGGCATGGTGGCACGTGCCTGTAATCCCAGCTACTCAGAAGGTGAAGGCAGGAGAATTGCCTGAACCCAGGAGGCGGAGGTTGCGGTGAGCCGAGATCGCACCATTGCACTCCAGCCTGGGTAACAACAGTGAAACTCCGTCTCAAAAAAAAAAAAAAAAAAAATGGTTCATGGAGACAGAGCCTCACTTTACCCCCTAGGCTGATCTCGAACTCCTGGCTTCAAGTGATCCTCCTGCCTTGGCCTCCCAAAGTGCTGGGACCAATACAGATTTTTTTCATGAAAATTAGGTCTCCAACTATTAATAAGATCTTTGTCAGCTGAGTCAGGGAGGTAGCATGGGACATACAATTAATTTAGATTTTTTAACGGCTTTTGAGAACATTCAGATAACCTATATGTTGAGACCTGAAATTTATTTGAAATGTGAAAAGCAGCTTACAAAATTGCAGGTACTCTATAAATATACGTTTGTTATACAAATACACATATATGTACACACTTAGAAAAGTATTCTGAGAGAAATACATTGAGATATATATCTACAGTGCTTGTGCCTGGATAGGATAGGATAGGATAGGATAGGATAGGATAGGATAGGATAGGATAGGGATAATTTAATTGTTTAAAGTTGAGTTAGTGAACTTGACCACACAGACCGGGGATCAAATTCTGCCTCTGTCATTAATTGACTGTGAGGTGTGACACTGAAAAAGCGATTTAGGTTTGGTACACCTCCAGGTCCTTATCTGTAAGGTGACAATTACAATAATACCCACCTCCCAGGGTTGTATGGCAATGGGTTAGGCACCGATCTAGGAACTCAGAAAATGTGCCAGTATGAAGTCCTAGCTTTTACTGTTTCTGGGTTTCTGACTTTTCTCTCCTGTTGTGAACATATGTCGCTTATGTAATATGAAAAATAAAATAGTTAAATTTGTTGTGTTTTTTAAGAATCAGTTGAGCACAGATGGGACTATTTTCATGGACTGATGTCTTGCTTGAAGCCAGTTACCAGAGGGTTTCTTTCAACAGAGTATACCAAAAAAACAAAAGTGAATTACACAGATCCCAGCTTAAGACCTGGGCTTAATCTTCATGATGTTTGCAAAGTAATACGTCCCAGAGAACCCTCCCAGTTGTCCATCGACACTAGACATTTCAGGATGTGAAATGTTAAGCTAACGGAAACGGTCCATCACATGCATCTCCAGCCCTTCATAGATGCCGCTGGATGGATGAACTTACGTTATGATCTCCTGGTGCCTTTTTTTATGACTGTGGATACTTGGGTAAGGAGGAGATTCGTCTCTGGATGGCACGATGCACTCTGTGTTATGCAGTCTGGAGAACATCATGTAGAGTCTGAAAAGTAGGAGGAGAGAGGGGCAATGGGAAGAAGACAGAGTGGGTGTTGCAGGGACCTACAGTCAGCCTGGTGCCCCAGCTGGCCTTTGAATTTGGCCCAGGTTTTTTTGTTTTTGTTTTTTAATAGTTAAAGCTGACAGCAAATCACATTGCTTACTCTGGTCAGGGAATGGAAACTGCAACGGAAGCTGATCTGCAAAGGTGACCATTTTCCCTGGACTTGAACTTCAGGAGGTGCCTCCTGCACAGGTCCACACTTGAGGGATTGCCTAATGCAGCGAGCACAGTTGTGCTCAACTGTGGTTCTATAAAAGACGCAGAAACACATTACACATAGGCAGATCGTCCATCAGCCCTCTAAACTGGCATAACCTTGAATCATAATTCAATAAATGCATTTCTGCAAGTAGTGAAGATAATAAGCTGCAAGTGCTTTCGTTTTCTTTCTCTCTTTCTTAATGTGGGGAAAATCGAGATGGGATTCTGAGAACCCAGATGGAGGGCCTGGGAGTCATCACAATCTGATCCCTCAGGACATTAGCCGCATCTCTTTCTGTAGCCAGAACCAATAGAAAAATGAGAGAAGGAGAGTTGAAGCAAAATAGCAAACATTTTTCCTTTCATGGGGTGTGTGTGTGTGTGTGTGTGTGTGTGTGTGTGTGAAATGGGATGTGGTTGGGGAAGGGATTCTAATTGACCATAGTACAAATGTTTCATTCCTTGCTCATACTACCTATCCAGTGTGGGTCTGCAGGTTCCTCTGCACAGGCCCTCAGGGACCTGGGCTGCGAGAGTCTGTGATCTCACAGCTGTCACATCTGGCACAGATGGCCTTCTTGATCTCCAGTAGGGAGAGTCACATCAGCAGTTAAATGCTTTGGTCTGAAGTGTCACGTGTCATTTCCTCTCAACTACCTACTGGCTAGGCCAGTCATAGGGCCCTGCAGAGGGTGGGAATGTCTCATCTTCCTGTAGGCTTAAAAACAGAAGAAAACCAGAGGTCTGTGCATAATACATTTTTACTACAATGATGCCCTTTCGTCTACAGAGAGAAGGACTGAGAGGGACTGTACTGTTGGTTGATAGGGTCAAACTTGCTAACAGACCCGAAGGGCGTTGCTTGGTCATTGCAGTTTCCACCCAGCACCTTACACAGAAGTTTGGGTCTTAACATGGAAACTTTTCAATAGTGGCCACATTCTGTTCTGAGCACTGTATTGAGCATACCATATGCTGAAAGACTTGGAACACAAAAACCTAAGGCCAGGGCCACTCTTCACTATTAAGCCCTCAGTTGTAGTGGAGGCATCAAGCTTGTAAGACCCAAGACCTTACCTTTTGTGCTCCTCGTCTTGTGGAGGGACCATCCATCCTCGAAACAGAAACCTGTCAGATCCCTTGGATATACTGACAATTCGTTGATGAGAATTGAATGCCCCATAAATTGCATGTCCCCCAGGGCCCGGTAGGTACCCTGTCTTGCTGCGTATGATTCAGAAACCTGTTTATTTGTATCAAGGACGGGTGTACTTTAATCATCAATAAACTAACATTTCAACAGCCTGCCATAAATTTCTTGTCAAAAAAGAGATTATGATTAGAACACTGTGATGAAAGAGAATCTGTACATAGACTTAAATCCCTTAGTTTCAAAGCTTCTAGCAGTAGGGCTTAGAGGTTCCTACAGTAAGAAAAGCCTAGCCAAGCAGAAACCCGTTTTCTACTTTCAAGGTATTTGTGAATTATTTTACTTGCATATATTGGCCAAGATTTAGCACAAGCTGTTAATTTTCAATGAATAAAAAATTGAGTTTTGAGAGTAAATATTTTGGTAAGGAAATAGAGAAGTGACACTAATATTCTCTCGGACTGTAACTGTTCAACAGTAGGCTTCTTTCACCAAGCACTAATATTACATTAATTATTAATAAAATCCAACTCCTTAAGTAATAATACAATCATAGTTACCATTTATTGAGAGCAGTGTACTGAGCATTTTACATTCCTTAGTTACTCTTCCCTACAAGCTTACTAAGTAGATGTTATCTTCGTCTTATTAAGTAGACAGATTCTCATTTGCAGATGAGGAAACCGTGGCTGACTAAGTGAGTGCTGAAGTCACAGAGCTGCTGAGTGGCAGAGCTGCAATTCCCATGCAGAACTGTGTGGCACCACAGCCATTTTCTAACTCATTGCAAAGCACAGTGGATTAAAATGAGATCATTGAAACTGAGACATGGCTGGGCATGGTGGCTCATACATGTAATCACAGCACTTTGGGAGGATCACTTGAGCCCAGGAGTTTGAGACCAGCCTCAGCAACATAGCAAGAACATCCATCTCTACAAAAAATGTAAAACTTAGCCGAGTGTGGTGGTGTACTCCTGTGGTTCCAGCTACTCAGGAGACTAAGGCAGGGAAATCACTTCAGCCCAGAAGTTCAAGGCTGCAGTGAGCTATAATCACACCACTGCACTCTAGCCTGCATGACAGAATGAGACTGTCTCAAAAAAAAAGAGAGAGAGAGAGAGATTATGGCCAGGCATGGTGGCTCATGTCTATATTCCTAGCACTTTGGGAGGCCAAGTTGGGAGCATTGCTTGAAACCAGGAGTTCAAGACTAGCCTGGGCAACATAGTGAGGTCCCATCTCTAAAGAGAGAGAGAGAGAGAGGGCTGGGTGTGGTGCCTCACATCTGTAATCCCAGCACTTTGGGAGGCCAAGGCGGGCAGATCATTTGAGGTCTGGAGTTCAAGACCAGCCTGCCCAGCATGGTGAAACTCCATGGTGAAACACATCTCTACTAAAAAATACAAAAAAAAATTTAGCCAGATGTGGTGGCGCATGCCTGTAGTTCCAGCTACCTGGAAGGCTGAGGCAGGAGAATGGCTTGAACCTGGGAAGCGGAGGTTACAGTGAGCTGAGATCACACCTCTGCACTAGACTAGGCGACAGAGCAAAACTCCATCTCAAAAAAAAAAAAAAAAAAGATTATTTTTAAGATAAGCAAACCAAATGGGTATTAAGATTTCATTCTCATTTTAATGATTTTTTTTTTTTTTTTCTAAGTAGATACCTGTATTCCGATTGCCGCAGCACTTTGGGATTGTCTGATTAGTAGTGAATTCCTTCCCACTGGTACCCCTGTGGCCAGAGAGTGACTACAAGGGTCAGAGCTGTTGTGGGGGAGCTGTTTGGACTAAGTGATGGTCCACTCCAGCTCAGGGACGTTGTATGCATCTCTGCTTCTGAGGAAACAGTGACCCGCAAGGTGAATGCAGCCTGCTGCTCGTGGAATATCTTCACATGGTTTCTTTTAATCCATTTCTGTTTTTTAAAGTTTTTTTTTTTTCTTTAAGAGATGGGAATTTCCTTATGTTGCCCAGGTTACCCTTGACCTCCTGGGCTCAAGGGTTCCTCCTTAGTCTCCTAATTAGCTGGGACTACAGGCACATGCATCCATGTCTGGCTTAATTCATCCTTAAACAAGTTCAGAATTTTATTTCTTTACAATAAAATGAGAGTGGAGAGCACATTGATGCCCAGGCATAGGCATGGTTGGCGATTAAATGGCTGTTGAGTCTCCATTCTGAAACAGGCGCCGTATTCATTTGCTATGGCTACCATATCAAAATGCCACCCCCTGGGGAGATTAAACAGCAGAAACTTCCTGTCTCACAGTTCTGGAGGCTGGAAATTCAAGACACAGTTGCTGGCACGGTTTCTCTGAGGCCACTGTCTTTGGCTTGCAGATGGCTGCCTTCTTGCTGTGTCCTCAAGTGGCCTTCTGTCTGTTTTTTGGTGACACTGAAACAAAAAATTTAAAAATTAGCCAAGTGTGTTGGTGTAAGGATGATGTCTCTTCCTCTTCTTATAAGGACACCAAGTCTATTGGATTAGGGCACCACCCTTATCATGTCGTTTAGCCTGAATTACCCTTTTAAAGGCTCTATCTTGAAATACAGTCACATGGAAGCTTAGAAATTCAGAATATAAATTTGAGGGGGACACAGTTTAGTCTATAACATGCTCTATGCCGGGCATAAGGAATGTTATGGTGGCTAAGGAAAAAATGGTTCTTACCCTCTGTCAGTTTTCTGTGGAAGAAGAAAGACAGTCTTTAAGAAAAAAAATCACATAATCCCAAAAAGCTAAAACTATGATAGAGAATGCAAGGTACTAGTACAGCTTAGAAGAGGTGGCTCTAACCTTGTGTAGGAGCTAGAGAAGGCTTCCCTGAGGACATGAGGTTGGAATTGCAGCATGAAAGGGAAGCAGAAGGGGTTTGGTGGGAGAAGGCTTGGGAACGGGAGGTGTAGAGACAGCAGTGGTGTGATCAGGACTTGAAGGCACGGTTCTGTATACAAAAGGTCTCACAACTTGAAAGGCAGCCTACATTGAGCGTGCCCAGAAAACAAGGGCAAGAGATTATTCAAAAGAATACTGGATCCAGAGTTTCATCACTTTGTTAATTACATCTAATTTTGTGAGATTGCAATTAACTTGCCTAAGAAAAGATTGTTTATGATTCCATTCTTTATATTGTTTGTTGAAATAGGTAATTCTCAAAACTTCTGGATACCTGAGACTCAGCTGCGAACTTATTTTTAAAATTTTCTAGTCCCACTCCCCAAAGGTTCTGATTCAGTACATTCAGGATGGGGTCTAGGAATCAGTGTGTTTAACAAACATATCGGGTTTTTCTGGTACAGATGGTCCATGGACTGCACTTTGAGAAAGCTCCATCTAAAGAGATAAGTTGCTGACATATGTTATCGGGGGAAGCCTGGGAAAGTTGGGCACAGCAGTAGTTGTAAAGAACTACCAGACCTGGGCCTGGCGTGGTGGCTTATGCCTGTCATCTCAGCATTTTAGGAGGCTGAGGCAGGTGGTTCCCTTGAGCCCTGGAGTTCCTGATCAGTCTGGGCAACACGGTGAAACCCTACCTCTGCAAAAAATTAGCGGGCCATAGTAGTGCGTGCTTGTTGTCACAGATCCTTGGGAGGCTGAGGTGGGAGGGTTGCTTGAGACTGAGAGGTCAAGGCTGCAGTGAGCCAGGATCCTGCCACTGCATTCCAGCCTGGGAGAGTGTGAGACCTTGTGTCAGATAAAAAAAAAAACCTACCAGACCTGTGGGAATGTCTGCCAGTTTCAACCCATGGGGACAGGGTGAGACTAACATTAATTTAGTCTCTTCATGTTGGAGAGACTATAATAAGTGCTTTGCATATATCAGCTCTTTCAAATTAGTACAATTCTACTAGAGGGGGTACTAATAGTACCCCCAATTTCCAGATTAAAAAATCGAGGGACAAAGAGATTAGGTGCGTTTCTGAGGTCACACACTCATAAATGACAGAGCATGCCCCCAAACACCAGGTTTCAATGACCCTGTGGTGAAATGTGGTCGCTGGCACTTGCCTAGTGCTGACCACGCACTAGATACTGTATTAGTTACAGGTGATTCTACTTCTCCTTCATTAGGTCATCCAGAAAGCTTTGTGCCCTAGTCTGTCCTGGCTGCTGTAACAAACTGTCATAAACTGGGTGGCTTATAAACACCAGAAATTTATTCCTCTTAATTCTAGAGGCTAGGAAGTCCAAGATCGAGGATCCATTTCCTGGTTCATAGATGTCCACCTTCTTGCTATCCCCTCCCAAAGGCCCCTCCTCCTAATACATTATATCAATGATTACATTGCAACATATGGCCATGTGTGGTGGCTCACACCTGTAATCCCAGCACTTTGGGAAGCTGAGGTGGGCAGATCACTTGAGGTCAGGAGTTCGGGACCATCCTGGCCAACATGGTGAAACCCCATCTCTACTAAAAATGTTACAAAATTAGCTAGGGTATGGTGGTGCACACCTGTAATCCCAGCTACTCCAGATGCTGAGGCAAGAGAATTGCTTGAACCCAGGAGAGGGAGATTGCAGTGATCCAAGATCACACCACTGCACTCCAGCCTGGGTGACAGAGCAAGACTCTGTCCTCCCCACCAAAAAAAAAAAAAAATTCAGTATGAGAATTTTGGGGAGGACGCAGACATTTAATCCATAGTACTAACGTGGACATGATTTGAACTAAGATTCTACCGTGATTCTCTTCACGTACCTGGCAGTAGCTCTTGTATCCCATCCATTCCATTCAACAGTCATGTATTTTATTAATCTTTATTCTTAAAGGAAAAACAATTCAGATTGCTCAGAATGTAAATGTGACTAACGCAAGACGGGATCAGAATTGTCTAAGTGATGAACATTTTAACATATTTCAGTCTTAAGGCATCTGACCCCTGAATTTAGGGGGAGCCTTTTTTTTTTAAGTAAGGTTTATTTTTAAAATTGCTTTGCCAACTTTTTAAGAACACATCACTGCCTCATTCCATGACTCATATTTCTAACTTTCACTTCCCATCAATTTAAACGTCATCTCTCAAGGAGCTGACGGGCCCTTTCGCTCTAAATGAGTTGGCCTCTCATGCAGTGTTGTTCCATCCCCCTGCCACAGAAGTGATTCCAGGTCATTCCAATTTATTTAATTAATTTTGGAGATGAAATTATTTTGCCCAATAACTAGAACGCTAATGGAACTTATCGTAATGGCTCAGTTCAGGTTTGTTGGTTTGAAAATAAACGCCTTCATTTCAATATTTGCCTTTTGGCTGCAGCATGTTAACTGGTCACACACTGTAGCCTCATTAACATCATGGCTTGATTATGAATGAATGTGCACCTTGTTTTTGTAAAGCAGGCTTCTGTCTTCACTGCCAGGTTTTGCCCCCCAATATAGCCCCGAACTGGCATTTCAGACAGATGGATGGATTGCTGTGGCATAATTCACACTTTTAAACATCATAGTTTTTCCAACGCCTTGATAATACACACTTGAACTTAGTTTTAGAAGTTAGAACAAAGTGAGGAAAATACATTTTAGCTCTCTGGAGTGTCACGGTGGTGTCGAGATTTGTGCAGGTGTACTACATCCGTAATTGGGAGAGGTTGCCAATCATAAAGGACGGACAATAGGACCTCCGTACAATCAAAGGCGGAATTAAAATCTGCATGTTAATAGCTTTCCTGCCAGTCACGAATAGATTCATTCTTCACATCTCAGATATATGAAGCTTATTTGAAAATAAATTCTGGGGAGCGTTCAACCTGATTGAATCTGCTGTAAGCTCTGTTAATATATTTGTTCGAGTCACTTGCGCTCAAAAGCTTTTTAGACAGAATATCACTTTTTTATATTATTCATGGTAATGTAATTCCCCCCTTTAATCTCTTCAGGGTTTCCCATTAAGTCACGATACGTGGTTCAGAGAAAGTTGGATCGACCATTAATCACGCTATCTGGACTTCTGTGTTTCTACTTTTTGTCCATCTCTTAAATCAGTCACTTGGCAGCAGCAAGACATGTGGTCACTCCAGCCCATTTGATCGAAGAGCTCTTGTTAGGAGATTAGGCTGCTAATCTGCAAGCCAGCTAATGGAAATCATTCTGGGCAAGGAAATAAAACTGAACAACCTTAGCAAAATCACTACATATTATAGGAATCAAGTACATTCTAAATGGCTTAATCCTACCATTTAGCTATGAAGCCTAGGGGTAAAACGAACGTCTTAGATGATCCAAGATATCCAAATACCTATGACGTACATTTGTATGGTATACGTAGGGCAGGACCCCCATCAGAAATGTGGAATCTTTAAAGGATTTTTTATTTAGCCAGATAAAACAAACAAGGAGATAGTTGACCGAAGAAAAAGAAAGAAGAAAATAGAAAACTCAGGAGAGAAGAACTGAAATCTCTCTACACAAATACATAAAATGCAGTGAAATGCTTAGGTTGAAAACACGTAATACACACTCACTACATGTTCGTGGTTGAATCAGGTTACCTGGTATAGAGCTAATCTTTATGTTAAAAATAGTGGCTGTGAGTCTTTAGCAAGTTCTTTGGTTCTTCGACTTTCCCTTCTTCCCTAAACCCAAATCAATAATTCTTTAATAGTGTCATTAAAATGTTTTTCTGGATCATTCCATTTATACTAAAGAGTAACAAAGCAAACCCAAGTATTTGAGAGATACAGAAATGAATTTTCAGTGTAGGACGGGGTCTGCAAACTTTGAAAAGGGCCAGATGGCAAATATTTTCTGCTTTGTGGCCCATAAGGTACCTGTTGCATCTAAACCGTGATGCATTGGTGAAAGCACACAGATAATCTATACACAAATGGGCACGGTTGTGTGATAATAAAACTTTATTTACAAAAACAGGTGCTAGTCTGGATTTAGCCTGTGGGTTGTAGTTTGCTGGCCTCTAGACTAGAGCACATGTTTGTCTGGGAGACATAATTTCAAAAATCATTTTCTTTTTTTGATTTTCATGGTTTCAGAATATGATATTTTCACCTATGGATGAATGCTCGTCTTTTGAATTTTCATTTTTATCTGACATAACTCAAAGCCCTTGCATTGGGAATTCTTGTTAACCCTGATACGTCTTGTCAAATATCCTACTCCTGGGATGGCAGCAGAGTTGGGATGGCTGGATGCGAAGGTGGGAGAGGGTTAGCTTGGAGGTGATACACTTTTTCATTCTTGAGTAACTTGAGAAAAAGTCAGGAGTTTGGAATAAAGATTTGGAATAAAAAGGCGGAGGGCAGACCTAACATTTTTTTAAGGATAAAGAAAAAAAGAATGCAATATGAGAGACGGTATGACTTGTCACTTGGCTGGGGGCTCACCATTCATTGATAAATCCGCTATAAGATGTTAGGATTCTGAGTAACAGTCTATTTATTCCATGAAACAGATCTCATGAAAACATAGTAGTGATTTTAGAAGAAACGCAATGAACAGAGTGCTCCTAAATCTTTTTTCTGGGTGTTTAGATATCTTCTCTTCTAATCTTTTGTGTATCAGCGTCTGAATTATCCCAAGAAAGGAAACTCCTTTCTTTTTGAACTCTTATTTATATATTTTTAATTTTTTAAACGTCACACTGACCTAGTGTTGTAAGGAAATGGGGGAAATATCTCCCTGGTTTCTTGGAAATGGAGACTCCCATCATAGGATTCAAATGTTGGAATGTTCCAGGGAGGCTGGACTAAGGTGGTCTGTTTCTGCCACTGGTTCAAAGGAAAGGAATAGACTAGACCTGAAAGATTCTGTCTGGTCACTTTCCCGCCTGTGCTTTGAATGGTGAATACCATCAGCGGGAGGCAGGTGCCTGCAACCCCCATGTCTCAGATCAGACAGGCGGGCTGAGGAGTGCTTAACACCGCAGCCTCTCGTGAAGTGTCCTGAGAAAGAAGACTTTGTCTTCTTCCGTCGGCCTTGTTTGTCCTCTGCCAAGACTCCGGTGACATGATTGCTCTTCATCTTACTCTGGAGATCACAATAAACAGAAACGACTTTCACCTTTCGCATTCCAGGATTAAGTGCCCAAGCAGGTGCTGTTTCTGTCGTGTGGTTTCCAATCAGCAAAACCACCCGCTTTTTACCTGTGGCAGCAAAGTCAGGGAGATTTGAGACCTGGGGAGAGCTCTCTGCTGTGTTAACAGAACTGGTTCTTGGTTGGGGGCAGGGGCACCCATTCGTGGCTTCCTACAGCACTGCTTCCTTTCTCATGTGTTATCTGGGGCTCCCTCGGGAAAGAAAATGATGGAGAGGTCACTGACCTGATGACCCGGGGACCCAGGCAGTCCTTACAGGGACCCAGACTTTCACATATAAATGTGACCTCCAGTTAAAGCTGGACTCACTTAATCCCACGAGATGGTACTTGTAATGCCGTTCTGATGAAGCCATCTCACTCTGTAAACTGTCTTCTGATTTACACAAAGCCATCTGCTTCCATACGGGGTGTTTTATTTGGGATCCAGGATGGGAGAAGCACATCTGCCCCCTCCATAGCATGTGAATCTTAATGAATAAAAGCACCGACAGTTCTTTAAAGGAGAATAGTGTGATGCTATTTATAGTTGGATACAGTTTTGTAATCCAGCTCCATGCTGGATGTTGACTGTCAGTCATTCAAGGAAGTTCACTTCTCTGCTGGTTTTCTGAGTGAGGTAGCGATGAGCAGAGCACCTGGGAGGGCCCAGGAGCCCCCTGAACTGAGTATCCAGTGGGAGGTCCAGTTTCCACATTCAGCATAAGTGCTCGCACAGCATCTCTGTGGGTCTTTCTCACGTATATCCCCAGCCCAAGTGGAAGAGGACTTCTGCAGCTGTTAGTTCTTTCTCTTCCTAAGAAAAAGCAGATTTTAAGTAACTTACCATTTGTTAATTTATACCCTTATTTTTTATTCCTTCTTCATTCATTTTCATTTTTTCCTTCCTTTCTTCCTCTGTTCTCTTTTCCTATTATAACAGCTTTTATTTTTATTTAGGCATGATAAGGCCAAGATCAGGAAATGACTGCCATTGCAAAGACGGTTTGTTGCTCACAGGTGCACAGGGACTCAGCATGCTACAGGGAGTTACCTGGGAAAGCCCCGGGGTCGGGCAGGAGCCAGAGGGAGAGAGAGGAACTGTTAAGAGTTTTGAGCTCGAAGGCATTATCCTCAGCAAACTAATGCAGGAGCAGCAAACCAAACACCACACGCCTCACTTATAAATAGGAGCTGAACAGTGAGAACACATGGACACAGGGAGGGGAACAACACACACTGGGGCTTGTCAGGAGTGAGGTGCAGGGAGGGAGAGCCTCAGGAAAAATAGCTAATGGATGCTGGGCTTAATACCTGGGTGATGGGTTGATAGGTGCAGCAAACCACAATGGCACATGTTTACCTCTGTCACAAACCTGCACATCCTACGCATATACTCTGGAACGTAAATTTTTTTTAAAAAAAGTTTTGATTGTGGTTTTTACAGGAAGGAAGGGGCCAGGAGGGGTAAGCAGGCTTAGGATTGGCTGGCTTGGGTCCTGTCTCTGGGCTCTGGGATCCATAGCCCTGGGTGATTAGGGTAGGTGGGTGAGGCCTGGAGTATGAGCCCTATAAAGCCAGTGGTGGGGGTGTGGGTCCTGGATCTGTTAGTTTGAACCGTGTTCTTGTGGTCGAGCTGTATGCTGTCTCTAGGAATCCACTAGAGTCCTGTTAAGAAGGCTAACAAGGCAGCAGGTTATAGGCAGTGATTTGAGAGCGGTATGATACCCTAACAGAAGCAGGGATGTGGCCAGGCACGGTGGCTTTTGCCTGTTATCCCATCACTTTGGGAGGCTGAGGGAGCAGATTACAAGGTCGGGAGTTCGAAACCAGTCTGGCCAACATTCCGAAACTCCATCTCTACTCTAGCCTGTAATCCCAGTTTCTTGGGAGGCTGAGGCAGGACAATTGTGTGAATTCAGGAGACAGAGGTTGCAGTGAGCCGAGATTGTACCATTGCATTCCAGCCCAGGTGATAGTGCAAGACTCCGTCTCAAAAAAAGAAAAAGAAAAAGAAAAGGAGGAGGAATCCATGTGGCTAAGAAACATGGCTCAAACTTGACCTTGATAGAGTGTTTCCCTAGAAGAGGTGGGAGGGAGAAGGTCTGGGAGAGACGGCGGGGGACCAGAGCAAGTGAAGTCACCAAGGTGCTGGTGGTTGTGGCCCTGCAGGTCCTGCAGACCCCCTGGTGGCAGTATTGGTGGTCAAAGCTGGCATCGGGGAGTGTGGCTGCCCGGAGAGCTTCTGTATGGCTAAAGTCTGAACATGGGAGTTTAAGAAAGCAAACTCCTTTAGCTTGGAACAGAAAGAAAATTGTAAAAGGGAGAGTGTAGTGGTCGGGTGCAGTGACTCACGCTTATCATTCCAGCACTTTGGGATGCTGAGGTGGGCAGATCACGAGGTCAGGACATCGAGACCATCCTGGCTGACATGGTGAACCCCGTCTCTACTAAAAATACAAAAATTCGCCAGGTGTGGTGGTGCATGCCTATAGTCCCAGCTACTTGGGAGGCTGAGGCAGGAGAATCGTTCGAACCAGGGAGGCAGAGGTTGCATTGAGCCGAAATCGCGCCACTGCACTCCAGCCTGGCAACACAGTGAGACTCTGTCTCAAAACAAAAACAAGAAAAGAAAAAGAAAGAAAGTGAGAGTTAGTAACATGGTGGAGGGCTCCAATGCTCTGCTGAAGAGTGGAAATGGTTTTCCGAGGGCGAGGCTGTCAAGTAGGGAGGCAGCACATCTGAATTCTTCAGCAAATACTTTGAGTGCAGTACAGGTTGGTAGTGGTTCCCACTTAACAGCTTCTTGCTCCCATGCAGAAAAGCACTGAAGGTGGCCTGCTCCAAGGCAGTAACAGGGCAATAGGGATGGGAGGACTTGGTGGTCAGATGCACGTGGACATGATGAAAGGGGAAGGGAAGAAGTGTCAGGATATTCACGGTCAGTGCTGTAAGCCCCTTAATAATAGGTCTAGTGTTCCATTATTGGAACGCTAAGCATGTGGGAATTATTTATATCCTATTGCTCAAAGTCATCGCCAAGGTCTGATTGCAAAAATTCAATATGTTGCAACCTCAGCCATAAATGGGTTTTAAGCTCCATGCAATAAAACCCAGGGAATAAAAACAGTTTTGGCTGATGGGTTGGTAGAAGTGATAGACAGATACATATACACATACACATATAAATACCTACAAGTAGATACAGGTAATGACCTCGATATATGTACATATAGTGTGATGTATATCCCTGCATGTACATACACATATATACAAATATATATATATGTGCCTTTGGACACAAAAAAATCCGTAGGACAGTCTCGTTTGGTTTTTGAAATCCTATTGTTGAATAGCACCACAGAGGTGCCCTAAGGCAGCCTTGCATTCAGGGCACACAGATTTGGTTACTCAGCTCCCTTCTTGCCTATTTCTGAGTCACGTGGGCTGTACCTGACTCTCAAAAGCCCACTGCCCACCCAGATCCCCTCACTCTGAATGGTGGCCCAGTGCTTTCTGAGGACAGAGGTGGGACCGGGTGCTGGAGACAACCCATTCCTTTCACAGAGACTGTAAGCCTTACCCAAGCATTAATTTTGCTGCATAGGCAGCCTGTTCTCCCACAAAGTCCTGACTAAGAAGAAAAGGGGCCCAGAAAAGCCAGCAGAGCCTGGCAGACAACTTGTGGCTCCCTTGCCATTTAAGGTCCCGAGGAATGTAGAGACATCAGTGGAGGCCAGGGTGGGTTTGGAAGGAGAGATTTTCTTTCTTTCTTTCTTTCTTTCTTTCTTTCTTTCTTTCTTTCTTTCTTTCTTTCTTTCTTTCTTTCTTTCTTTCTTTCTTTTTTCCTTCCTTTCTCTTCTTTTTTCCTTCCTTTCTTTCTTTTTTCCTTCCTTCCTTCCTTCCTTCCTTCCTTCTTTCTTTTCCTTCTCTTTCTCTCTTTTTTCTTTATTTCTTTCTCTTTCTCCCTCTTCTTTCTTTTCCTTTTTTCTTACTTTCTTGTTTTCTCCCCTTTTTCCCTTTCTTTCTTTCTCTCTTTCTGTCAGAATTTCTGTTTCTTTCTTTCTTGTCTTTTTTTCCTCTTTCTTTTTCTCTCTATTCTGTTTTTAATTAAAGATATAATTAATGCTATGATTTTGCAAAAAAATTCTAGTTTCTCGTAATTCTACTTGCAGGCATATGCGTAATTCTAAATTTAGATGTATTCTCCGATACTGTCTGAGGAAAGGAAGCATTTTTCAATGAAGCTAAAAGAAGGGAAAGGTATTCTGTTTTATTCTCATACTCGAATTTCCCAAAACCTAGCCTTGATATTATTCATTTGGCACAGTTATTGTGGAGTACTTGGAAGGCAGTGGACATGGCATACAGAGCTGCAGCTTTGGACTTTGTGGCTTTGGGTAAATTACTTATTCTCTTTGCACCTCGGTGTATTCATCTGAATAATGGGGACAGAGAAGCACCATGGATGCCTCACGGCTTCTGTGAGTATTCATTGAGATAGTATGTGCAGGCCTGTGCCATATTCCCCACTGAGGGAATGCTGCTTATTTTTACGATTGATATTATTGTGGTTGCTGTACCTCTGAAGGGCTTTCATTGTCTTCTGAGCAAGACAAAAGGGCCAATATTCACTCCTTGGACTGGAAGCAAAAACCCCCTGCAATTCCAAATGACTTCACATGTGGAGCAATTTTACCAGGAGCTCAAAAGAAGCCTCTTACTTGCCTTTGCCCACAAATGGCAGAGGAAGACTCTTCTGAGCCATGCCGGGAAGAAAAATGAGAATGCCAGCTTAAATAAATGTTATCACAATCTCTGCAGAATCGTGATGTCTCCGATTCTTAAAAGTGTCTACTACAGGGTATTTATAATTCTGTAATAATAATAAATCGCTGCTTATGAAATGCAGGGAATCGAGTGTTGTGGAGGGGAGGAAGGGAAATACAGGGAGAAGAAATGCGAGAGACTCAGGTCCGGCCAGGCCTGGGCTATTAATCATCGCCCTCCATTATTTCCTGAAGATTCATTCATTGTTCCATAGGTACCTAGAGGGTCAATTAGAGACCACAGACAGGCTTTTTCAAAGACACAGGAGGGTCAATTAGGCCCTTCTTATAATTTTCTGCTTTAACAGCAAATGCCAGCCTATCGTGCATCAGATGCAAGGGAGTTTGGAAATAAACAGGGTAGTTTCCTTCCTCCTTTAAAAAAGAAAGAAAGAAAGAAAAAACATCCGACACAGAGAAATGGAGGCATTCAGCTGCTGGGAACGCTTGGCTTGCTGGCTGTCAGGATCTGGTTCGAGGGAGGCAAAGGGGATTTTCTCACCACCTGAGACTTGGGAGGAGCAGAGTTCTTGTGGGGTCAGAGCGTGGGGAACGGTCAGGGAATTTGTATGATGGAGCACCCTGTTCCCATATCTGAGATGATTCATTTATCTTGAGTGCCATCTTAACTACAATTAGAGTACAATTATAAAGTCTCTACAATGGAAATGGGACCTGAAATCAATTGCAGCTGGACTGATGCGTGGCGAGTCACCATGCCCACCACAACTACTGACTGTGTGGAGGACAGAATTCAACCAAGTGCGCCGTTGTGTGCTTTTACACAACACTGCTTTTTAGTTGTTTTCCTTGGGATTGGCAAACATATCTTTTATTTATTTATTTTATTTTTATGTTTTGAGGCGAAGTTTTGCTCTTTCGCCCAGGCCAGAGTGAAGTGGTGCGATCTCGATTCACTGTAACCTTCGCCCCCTGGTTTCAAGCAGTTCCCCCACCTTAGCCTCCAGAGTCACCGGGATTATAGATGTCCACCACCACACCCAGCTAATTTTGTATTTTCAGTAGAGATGGGGTTTCGCCATGTTGGCCAGGCTATTCTTGAACTCCTGAACTCAGGTGATTCACCCACCTTGACCTCCCAAAGTGCTGGTATTTAGGTGTGAGCCACCACACTGGGACACTAACATCATTTTTGGTAGTAAGGATATTCTGTTCTAATCAGTGAATTCAGACCAGCAGCTAGTGAAATTGTTTTTCTCCGTCATGTCTTACTCAAAGACAAGGAAGAAAGATTTCAGATCCAAACAGATTTCAGAATCTATTCTACAAAAGGTATCTGTTTTAGTAGTACTGACTTATTCTAAGCTACTACCTGGAGAAAAGCCCTGCTATGCAAATTTTTTGTATAGAATATTTTCTAATAGAATCACCTGAACTGCAGAGATGAAAAAATGGCCTTGTAAATTTCTTCTTTTAACCAAAAGTTCACTGAAAAAGACGACAGCCTTTCAGTGGCACTAATTTCTCTAAAGCAAAATAACAGCAAACTCCAGAGACCTTGGCTAGCTCAGACGAAATAGAAAACATAGATTCAGGAGAAGCCAGGGAGGTAGGCGTTCTGCAATGGATTGTGGTAAAGTACGAGATAAAGAGGGGAGAAGCAGGGTGGAACCTGTAGTTTTGTGCCTGTTCATCTGAGGTCTGCAAGATGAATGGGCTGAGAACTGTCCTATCTATTTCCACAATACGTTCACACAATTAAAGCCATTAGTTAGAACTTTCTTCCAGGAAGCTACTGGGAGAATGGGATTTCTCTTAAGAGGCAGATTAAAAAGAAAAAGAAAAGAAAATCCTCCTGGAATACACAAAAACATATGCACACGAAGAATGAAGCCAGTGGCCATTTGCTAGTAGTGCTGCTTGAAAGTCATATGCACCTAGAGCCTCTGCCTTCCAACATGTTTTAATAAGAAACCATATTAACAAGGTGATACAAGCAATGCTTGGGAGGAAAGGGACGAAGTTCATTAATTTCATAAATTCATTGGCTGGAAAGCATCTCATTCCCCGCGTCTCATGCTAGAATTTGATCTACTCGCTCCTCTACATTCAGTCTACAGGCATGTCTTAGTCTGTATCCATCCCTGACTCTGGCCTCTGTGGTCTCTTGCCTGGACTATTTTAGGAGCCCACATGCTGCCAGTCCTGACCCTCACAAATCCATCCTTTTTTACCAAAGCCAGAGGGCTCTTTCTAAAATGCATGCACAGTCCCTTATTATGTGATATCCCACGACATTCATAAGCCCATCCCCCAGTGCTTTCTGTGACTGTGAGGATAAGATCCAGAATGTTGCTTTAACTACTGAAGCACCTGGGGACTTCAGCTCTGTCTCCAGGCCCACCCTTCCCCACCACTGTCCCTCTCCCAAGCTTGGCTTCAAGCCACATAGAACTACATGTCCTTCCACATAGAGGCCAGATCTTGTCTGGATGCCATGGATATTAATTGTGAGCAACAAAATCCTTGTAGTCATGGAGATGACAGTCTGAAATAGCCAGCCAAGAAGTAAACAGATAAACACAGGACGACCATGGTTGTAGGGGGTACTATGGGAACAAAGGAAGATGCAAGGTACCCAATTCAGACTAAAGGTTGTAGAGAGAATGGGTCTAGGGTTAGGCAAGTATTCCAAAAGAGCCACTTGGCTTGATGAAGGAAAAGGTGCACTCGGGACAAAAGAATGTGCCAAATGAAGGCCAGGCCTTTCCAAGCTTGATCAGAGTCAAGACTGCAGGGGGAGTGATACTGGTAGAGGTCAGCTCAGTTAACTGGAGACTGGAAGTGGGGAGACCTATGAGAACCACCACAACAGCGAGGTGCAAGCAGGCAGCTCATGAGTTAGCATAACAGCAATCTGCAGTGCCTAGGAGGCTAGGCCATTTCTACAGTGAGTCAAGCGGGGCTGATAGGTACTATGGCAAACCAGAGGGCACGTGCTGCAGCTAAAGAGGGGTAGCCACTGCTCAAGTCCAGCCAACTGTAGCCAAATGCAAAATGGAGGCAAAGGATGCCAGATGTGCTTTGTCAAGATAAACAGGAAATCCCAATTTCGATGGGAAGTCTTCCAAGTTTTAAATGTTCACAACTAATTTATTTCATTAAAAAAAAACCAAAACAAGCAAACTTCAGCAGGAAAAACCAAAGACATCTGCAAGTCACCAATCTGCAACTTCTAGGCTAGGACTGGGAAATGAGGATGGAGACTCCAGGCACTAGAAAATTTTCTTGCTTCTTACCCAGGGATCAGAAGGCAAAAACACTGAAAATAAAGATGACCCCCAGGAAGGCAGGAAGGTGGCATTGGCGGCAGCAGCAGCCAGGGCAGAAGCTCCCCAGGAATGAAAGCAAACTCTCTGAAGGCTAAGAATGAGCCTAGGCCTTCAGAATCACAGCCCAATATCCTTGAGCTCAGCTAGCCAACAATTGTTCATTGAGGGCCTACTATGTGCTCGGCATTGTTCCAGACTCTTAAAAAGCAGCAGTGTGCAAATCTGAAAAAACTCCCTGCTCTACACTTTGGGAGGCCAAGGTGGACAGATCACCTGAGGTCATGAGTTCGAGAGCAGTCTGGCTAACATGTTGAAACCCCGTCTCTACTAAAAATACAAAAATCAAATGTGTGTGGTGGCGGGTGACTATAATCTCAGCTACTCAGGAGCTGGAGGGTGCAATGAGTTGACATCGTGCCGCTGCACTACAGTGTGGGTGACAGAGTAAGACTTCGTCTCAAAAAAAAAAAAAAAGAATAAAAATAAAAAATAAATCTCTGCTCTAGAGGAATGCACTTATGTACTCTATTTCTAGGGAAAATGAAAAATAAGACAGTCTTCAGTGGTTTAGCAAAGGCTGTGGTAGAGACTCATCGTCTTCAGCTGTAGTGCCACTCACCTTTTGGAAACTCAAAGATAAAAAAGCCTACAAGTCAAACAGGCCCCAAAGGCCCAGGGCTCCAGCATTCTAGAACTGAAGAGCATGGGTTTTCCTGCTTGTTTTTGGCTGTAACCCCAACACCTAGAACAGTGCCTGCACATGCTAACATCTGCCGAAGGAATCTGGGCTAAGAGGTATTCCCAAGAGCCCAGGGGGAGAAAAATCACTAAAGTTGGTACTGCTTTTTCCCCACATTAAAAGCATTTCTCTTTTGCCTCTAACTCTCTTTGTGGTGGTAGATAGGTAGAATCAGGTCTTAAGGTAAATAGTAATAATGATCGTTGGTCTTTTTCTGTTTTAGCAAGCTTGGGTATTCAGAAACAAGCAGAGGCAATATCTAACAGCCCGCTACAAAAAGGAAGTAGAAATGAAGGAACATGGACTCTGACAGTCCCCATTCCTCATTTTCATCTCTGCTTCTCAGACAGTCCTTTCTCCTTTTTACTTTATCATAATGTGTTTCAAGATATGTTTGCCGGCTAGATGCAGTGGCTCACACCTGTAATCCCCTGGTGAAATCCCGCGTCCTCCCAAAATACAAAATTAGCTAGGTGTGGTGGTGCATGCTTGTAATCCCAGCTGCTTGGGAGGCTGAGGCAGGAGCGTCCCTTGAACCTGAGAGGCAGAGGTTGCAGTGAGCTGAGATAGTGCCATTGTACTCCAGCCTGGGCAACAAGAGTGACACCTGTCTCAAAAAGAAAAAAATGAATAGTGTTAGTGATACATATTATTTTGGAACCAATTCTTAAGCAATAATTAAAAATAAGAATGCAGCTATGGTGATTGAGTTTTTATGTTATGAATTTTGAATTTTATACTCTGAAGGCATGGTCACTATGAGTGCCAGAGAAATAAATGGAATAAAATTTTATTTGAAAGCTGGGATTGTTGCATGCCGCGGTGTGTTTTTTTGTTTGTTTGCTATTGCTGTGTAACAAATGACCACACACTTAGCAGCTCCCACTAACATCTGTTTATTAACTAAAATTATGTAGATCAGAAGCCTGGACACAGTGTGACTGGCTTCTTGGCTCACGGTCTCATGGGGACAACATCAAGGTGTCAGCTGGAGGTCCGTCCCTTCCTGCAGGCTCTGTGGAAGAATCCCTTGCTAGGCTCACTCAGGGTGCTGGCAGAATTCAGGTCCTTGGAGTTGTAAGACTGAGGCCCCTATTTCATTTTGACTTCAGCTGATGGCTGCTCTCAGCTCCTGGAAGCCACCCACATTCCTTGACTTTTGGCACCCTGCATCTCAAAGCCAGCTACAGAGACTCTCTTGTGCATGGAGTCCCCTCGGCTTTGAATTTCTCCGACTTCGACTATGCTATCTAGGCCATGGGTTTCAAGGGCTCACATGACGAGGATAGTCTCTTTATCTCAAGGGCAACTGAGTTGGAGTCTTAATTAACACTGACAAAATCGCTTCACCACAGTATCTAGCGTACGAATTGACTGAGTAACTGGAAGAAGCCATGTGTACATCGCGGACCAGAAATCTGGGAAGCTAATTAGAATTTTACCTATCAAAGCCACATTTTCTTTTTTTTTTTTTTGGAATAACAGAAAAATAAAAACAAGACCAGATCTTTACAGAGACTTTTTCAGAGACAGAAAGTTTAATATAAAGAAAGGGAGTAATAGAAGAAGATGTAAACTGTAAAGACAGGATGAGGCCGGGCGCAGTGGCTCACGCCTATAATCCCAGCCTTTTGGGAGGCCGAGACAGGTGGATCATGAGGTCAAGAGATCAAGACCATCCTGGTCAACGAGGTGAAATCCCATCTCTACTAAAAATACAAAAATTAGCTGGGGATGGTGGTGTACGCCTGTAGTCCCAGCTACTCGGGAGGCTGAGGCAGGAGAATTGCTTGAACCCAGAAGGCGGAGGTTGCGGTTAGCCAAGATCGTGCCATTGCACTCCAGCCTGGGTGACAACAGCGAAACTCTGCCTCAAAAAGAAAAAGAAAAAAAAAAAAGACAGGATGTTTAGGTAGAGCACCTTACAGGGAATCAGAGATTTTATTACAGGCAGACACGCCTTTATTCGTGAGCCAAGCAAGTGATTTTACAGGAAAAGCAGAATGGGGAGTTCTACGGCTCATGATCTTCAGTTACCAGCAGTGGAGGTGAACTGAAAACATTTGATCTCTTGTGCAGCCTGGTGCAACTCATTATCTTCTATGTGCCTCAAGGTTTTTACCGAATTTGCCATTGAAAATAATGGGAAAAACCGCAATGACTTTTGCACCAACCTTATAGAATGAGTTGGTATTCAGGATTGCTATAATGATGAGGCAGTGGCAAATGACATCTTCTTTTTTAGCGCCGTGGAGGCATCTGCTGGGCTCTCAACACACATCCCTTCCGCTGTCCTTTTCTCAGATAGAGTTTTCCAAACAAACTGGATGCTCAACTCTGGATTTGATCCAAGCCTTCTGGAAATCAGTAGCTTCTCGAACTGTTTCATGGTAGAGTGGCTTTTGGGCACAGGAGAAGGAAGTAAGAGCATTGAGAGCCTTGGGAATGCTGCCCTTAGGTCCCACGCTGGGGGCAAAATTCCTCCAAGAGCTCACATTATCTCAAAAACCATGCGTATTCTGGATCGCCCCTGAATTCAGCCTTGTTGTGGGTTAATATATGAACTAGTGTTTTCATTACTTACCAGTTACACTCCCACTCCAGGAATGCATGTGTCTCCCCTTTGTTCCTGCATCCCCTGACGCTAAGCAGGCCAGGGTTAAGGGAGGCAAGCGATGCACGTCCCCTCCCAGGTTCATGCAGGTACCTATTCTGCACTTACTGATTCTGAGCTCGTAGACTCCATGAATGTCTGCTCTTGGCATTGCACTTGCTTCAGACTCGGCTGACTCTGTCGGACATATCACTTCCTCTCATTGAAGAGGCCTCTTACCATGCATGGCTCTTTGTCAGATATTCACACTCAGTCAATACCTGCATGCCTTTGAGGCCATCTGCACCTACTGGCAATCTCATTGCGCCACTGAATGGAGGGTGAATGCATGCAGGCTAGGAGTGATGATCTTTTAACACCAGAAAGACCCTCGTCTGTGGAAGTGCTGAGCTCTTCAGTGTCATCGCAGAAAAGCCTGAGCCCATCCCTGGTACGGAGTCATCATATCCCATAGCTGAGCTATGTGGGAGCTCCACGATGAGGAGGTGACACACAATCAGCTAATTACATAAAGAGAACTTGAGCAAACTCCACAGCTCCACTTCTTACTCTGCCATATGCTGCTCAGATTCCTCTGAAAAGCTTTGCAGATGTTCTGTTTTTTTAATCGCTCCCCCTATCTTTCTTTCTTTGCACCCACGATGCTCTGAACTTAAAGCTAAATATAATGTATCTGATTTCCCAGCATGCATACTAATCAGGTCTGAAAGTTGTCTTGTGAGGCTTTAAAAAGCTAGCCAAGAGCAGTGCGATTTCTCCAATCAGGATGATTACATGGGAAAATAAATCATAATTTATATTGCTGAAAATGTCATTTGCAAAAACACTGTGACAATACTTTCCTTTCAGTCTATTTTCCTGTGTGTGTGGGGGGTTAGTGCTGCCCTTCTACAACTTTCCTTGTATTTTATTGATTTATTTATTTTTAATACTCTGAATATCCCCAGAGCAATTGCACATTCAGGGCGGTATAGGGTGGTTCCCGAAGCCCAAAATTCAACAATAACAACATAGAACAGAGAATCCAAACATAGTATGTGTTTAGGATACAGGCACTCATGTGGTTGAACACACACACACACACACACACACACACACACACACACACTTTTTTTTTTCCCATTGCAATAGAATGTAATGGTAGATTTTTAGAACCAAATTACTTCGGAGGCTTTCTTCTATTCTGCTACCTTCAACTTGAATAAACTATATTAAATTATCCAGCAGGATTGATTAGTGATCCGATTCATTAATATCCCTTGGTATTAAGAACCATCTCTAATTGTGTCCTGGTTGGCAGAGAGTAAGTCCACAGATGCCAACAATTAATATCTGTGGTTGATTGTAAAAATGGCCACCAATTCTTTCCTCTCCCCTGCCCATGTACGTCCTTGCATTGTGAAATTGTAGATTCTCCCCTCCAAAGGTGAAGTTAGTTTCTCTACTCCCTGAACCAGGATGCCGTGAACTTTGTTTTGACTAATGAGGCATTTGGAAACACGACACAAGCAGAGGCAAGAAAAGCGCTTCTATGTTAGTGCTTGCCCACTTGTTGTGCTAGGAACTCTTTTACTTTTTGGTGTGAACAAGCCCAGGCTACCTTTCTGGGTGATGAGAGACACAGGACCATGTCACCCCAGCCAAGAGCCAACTTAGAGACAGAACTGCCGGGCTGACAGCAGATACCTGCCCAGCTGAGCCCAGCCCCAACTGGGCTTATATAATCTTGAGCTAAACATAAGTAGCTGTTGTTTATAGCCAGTAATGCTTGGGATGGTTCATTGCACAGTAAAATTTAATGGAGACAGTACTTTTAATGTTGACTCTTTGTGAGGTGTTGTAAAGAGTGAAATGTGTAGTGTGTGCCCTTTTTTTTTTTAGCTGTATGCCTGGTATGTGAAAGTGTTTAGTTATTTGGTGAGTGAAACCTCGCTGATGTCCTAGCCAACCTTTTCTGTCTCAGAAAGCATGAACATTTCATCCAGGGTTATAAGCTACAAGATACTGAAGAAATTGAGGATCCTTGAAAATCTTGTGCCTCCCTCACGAGGATCAGGTGGCAAGATCTGATGGAAGGGAAAAGAGTGTTAACACAGAGAACCCAGTGGAGGCCTTTCGCAGAGGTCTCACGCCAAGAAATGATCATTTCTCCTAAGCGATCAGTTTCCTTTTCAATCTGAACTTCATATCTGATAGTAGTCCCGTCTTTTCTCTGGTCACTCAGGAGCTCAAATATAAATTTTTGTCACACTTCCACTTGGCTCCAGCAAAGTCATAGAACAAAATGGTACCTCTCTGGCCATCAATTTCACCTATCTCTTTATTTGTTTAAGAACTTTAACTTAATTTTTTCCCCTCAAGATCTGTTTATGGATCATCTGTTTTCTTTTTCTCCATTTCCCTCCTCTTTATTTTGCTCTCTTTTTCCCTCACTCTCATGTCTTCTCTAGTTTTTATCTACAGTGGGTTTTAATGAGCGCCATCTGACATCCTCCTTTCTTTTTAAGAAGGCAGGTAGAAAACAAAACCAAAACCAAAGGATGCACTTACAATTGTTGTAGCCCTAGGAGCTGAGAGAGGAGGACAGGCAGTTTCTTGGACATTTCGCTCCCCGGCAGGGAACCTCGCTTTGTCTATTCATTCATTCATCAGAGGCAGCATAGCAGAGTAGAGAGTACTCTGACTTTGGCGTTGGTGCTTTCAGGTTTGAAGTCTAAGTCCGTCGCTGTATTAGTTTCCTCTTGCTGATAGTTGTTTTGTTAGAAACAAATTGCCAAAAACTTACTGGCTTAAAACAATACATGTTTATCATCTTGCAGTTCTGGGAAGTCACAGGTTCAAAATCAGCCTTACCTGGTCAAGGTGTCAGTAGGGCTGGTTCCTTCTGCGGGCTATGGGAGAATCCATTTTCTTGCAGTTTTCAGCTTCTAGAGGCCTCCTGCATTCCTTGGCTCTTGGCCCCTTCCTCTGTCTTCAAAGCCAGCAGTAATATTATCTCACCTCGTTTACTGATTCTTCTTCTGTTGTGCCATCATATTCTCCTAATCTGACCCTCCTGCCATTCTTTTATAAGGACGCTTTTGATTCCACTGGGACTACTCAAATATTCTTTTAAAATCTCTCCATCTCAAGGTCCTTAATCACGTCTTCAAAGTCCCCTTTGCCATGCCTGATGACAGAATCACAAATTTGGGGGAAGAGTGTAGGCTTCTCTTGTAGGGAGTCCTTATTATTCTACCACAGCCACTAATTTTAGACTTCGGGTCTCTCATCCGTATAACAGGGGTAACAATATTCTCCAGGCTATCCGCAGAAGTAGAAAATACAAGCTTTATCTAGGGGGTCACTCAGTGATTGGAGTCTTCCTTATAAAACTGTCCCAGGTCCATTTCTCAGGACTGACATATGGGCAAGACCATCACATTTTTCAACCCCCTCAGCAGTGACTGAGCAGATAAGCATACAGTGGCAATTGTTCTGTCTGCTTGGGTTGCTGTCAAAGTATACTATAGACTGGACAACTTAAACAGCAGACCTCTATTCCTCACAGTCTAGAGGCTGGGAAGTTCAAGGTGAAGGTGTGGACAGCTTCAGTGCCTGCCTGGGGCTCTCTCTCTGGTTCCCAGATGGATGCCTTTGTGTGTCCTCCCATGGCAGAAAGAGGAGTAGCTCTGGACTCTTTCTCTTCTTATAAGGATCTAATCCCATCATGCCCGCCCCCACCATGATCTCATTTGAAATTAATCACTTGCCAAAGGCATCGCCACCAAATACTGTCACACTGGGGCTTAGGGCTTCAGCATATGAATTTGGGGGAACTGGGGGAAGGAACACATACGTTTAGTCCCTAACAGCTATCTCACTTACACCTCTACTTAGTGATTCAGAGAATAGGATGTATAGTGGGGAAAACATGATATCAGAACCAGGAGAAGGTCCTATGACTTTCTACGTTCAGCTGAAAGCAAACCTTTGCTGCCTCGGGCCTGTGGCTGCTCCTCTCCAATCATCCGTAGCCTTGACAGCCTTGACTGTGAAATGTGAGGCATCAGTGTGAGGCACAGGATGGTTCCGAGGACCAAATGAAGCTGTTTGTGTGGAGGCTGGGCGGGTGGAAGTGCTCCGAGGCAGCCGGAAGCTGTGGTTTCTACCTCCTGAGACTGTGCAGAGCTTCCTTTCCTGTGGGCAGAAGTCTCGTAGGACGGGGCTCACAACAGTGCAGACAGGAGATTGGAAATGTTAGTGGCACCGAAGTGGACTTCACTTCCTCCTCGTACAGTTTCTACCAGAAAGGCGGAAATGTACAATAAACTGAGCACCGATAGAGCACCAAGAACATGCTTTTGCACATTGTTTGATTCATCAATCAGAGCCCGGCATGGCTGTCATCAGTTTACAGCTGAGAGAACTGAAGATCAAAGGGGTCTTGTCTCCGTGAATAGAATTAGTAATAGCAGCAGTATCGATAGCAATCATGACAGTAATTAAAACTGTAGCAACAGCAGAGTCATCATAGCAGAAACACATTTGTGTGCTGTCGAGGTGCTAGGCCTGAGGCTCAAGTCGTACATTCATAATTTGTTTATCCCACCCTAAGTGGTAGGTGTATTCGTCATTCTCAGTGTCAGAAGAAACTGAGCTTCAGAGTGGCTGAGCAAGGATCACAGGTCCAACCTTGGTGAAGGGCATGATTGGCAGAAGCCCAAATTAAGCCCCTTTCCCAAAGCAGTGCAGCCTACCAGAGTCCTTCCTCTTCTACTGCCAAGAAGTGAGGATTTTTTTTTTTTGTTCTGAAAGGTCCTCAGGCTCATTGCCACCTGGTACTGTATTTAAAGGGTGCCTTTTGCCGCCTAACTAGGGCAAGGGAGAACCAACCGGCTGTTCCCCACTGGCTGTGGAAACTTCCAGCTCATCCACCCTGCATCTGTAGCTGAGTCGAGGAGAAAAGGAGAAAGTTTCCTCCCACAGCTGGGCCACCAAACCAGTGGAGCCTCCAGCCAGGGTGGTCTCAAGGAGGCCCATTACCAGCTGGAGTGACAGAGTGTGGCGAGCCTGCAGCTCATCCGGTGTCTAATGGAACAGAAACAAGCACCCTGCTGCCCTTGTTTTCCAGTGCCTCGTCGGGACTCTGCGAGGTTTATTAATCTCAACGTATAATGGAAAATGTGTTGCCACGTTTAATCCAGAGCCACTGTTCACTACTCCGCGGATTGAAGGCGGCAGGAGTCTTTGTCTTATTTACACACAGTGCCTGTGAGAGACACTTAGGGCAGAAGAACGCCATCGTAAAAATCCTTGCGGAATTTGAAAGTGTGCATTAATGCATGTGACCAGATGGTTCTGAAATATGCCACTTTAACCAAAAATCATCCTCTGAAAAACTCTTCTGAAGAACATTGACTGTGCATAATAACTGCCTTGAGTTGAGCCATTTTAGAAAACATATGAGTTACGGGATGAAGGTGAGGGAGGAAAATGGTTCCTACTTAGGGTTACTTCGTCCCTCCAAAAGCCTGCCTGGGGGAAAAAATTCCACCCAATACAAGAAGTATGGCGGTGCTTAGACCATTTAGAATCACTTTGAGTTATTACCCAGAAATTGCTAACCACTGCTTTCCAAGTTATATGTTAAATTTTATTTCTTTTAAAAAAGGCTTCCACCCTTTTTTGGCGGTGGGGCAGGGGGGTAGGGGATGGAGTCTTGCTTTTTCACCCAAGCTGGAGTGTAGGGGTGAGATCCAGGCTGGCTGCAACCCCTGCCTCCTGGATTCAAGAGATTTTCCTGCCTTAGCCTCCCAAGTAGCTGGGATTACAGGCAACCGCCACCACGTCCAGCTAATTTTTGAATTTTATTAGAAATGGGGTTTCACCATGTTGGCCAGGCTGGTCTCAAACTCCTGACGTCAAGCGATCCACCTGCTTCGGCCTCCCAGAGTCCTGGTATTACAGGCGTAAGCCACTGCCTGCGCCCAGCCCCAACTTCTTAAAAGCCAGAAACAACTGGCTGTTAGTTAGCTGTCATAATATTGACACTAGTGTCTGCACGGAAGTTTGTCTTACAAGTTTTAAGGTCTATCAGTACATGCATCTAATAATCCTAACACTGTCATCCTGACACTTGAGGTCTTATTATCCACTTCTCCCTTAGCTATGTAACCAGATGAATAACCTACTCTGAATTTACCCAGATAGTGCTTGACACCACACACAATGAGACTGGAGCCTCTCAGGCTGGCTCATCACAGGGGGAGCAGAATGCTTCGCAGGTAAGCCGTCACTGTGGGGCAGGGGGACTTAAGGCCACTCTGTCTGAGGAACACTCAGGTTTGCTAACCATTGCTTAAAATCACAGGGTACCTGGGGACTTTATGGGCAGAAATGCGACTTTCTCTAGCAAAGATGTACTGTTTCCCACTCAGAAGAATCAAAAATAGAAAAGTGCTTCTTCGTCTCTCTCATTGTTCTTAAAACAATTAGGTGCATTTTCCTTGAATCAAGGCAGTTTTTTTTTTTTAATAAAACATTCTATTTCATATCACTGTTCAAACTTGACATCCACATTTGAGTTTGTTTAAAATATTACCATTTTGTTGACACGAACCTGTATTATGTCTTTCAGTTGGTCAGTCATTTAATTTATATTATACCATTTCAGGAGCAGTTGGAGAAAAGGGAAAAAGTTAAATGTGAATGATTCCTTTCGTAACTGCAATTTTGTCGGCTCCTTTTTGTACATATATGATTATGAAGCAATTTGCATGAAATTTACACCTTTTCAAATTTTGAAAATTGCCTTGTTGATAAAAAATCGCTGTATTTCTCAATACTACACTGATTAATCACAGTTAGAGAGTAGACATAACATTTTTATTAAACTCTCAGTGAGCAGGAAAATTAGCACTTCCTGCAATAACGATACTAATTTCATTAGTGAACGTTTTCATTTATAAAGTGCTTCTTCCTCGTCTTGAACTTCTTATCCTTTTCTTATTGACCAAAGAGAGGGCATATCTTTGGGAGCTGATAATAAACCATATTCATAATATGATGTGACCTCATCGACAAGCTGCAGCTTCTAGCTGATCATCTTCCTTGATCATAAATATTCTTCGGTACCTCTTGTCACATGGCGCTCTTAGAGCTTCCTCTTTGAATTTCAAATGTGATAAGAGATGGTTTCCATCCCCAAGAGCTTGCAATGGGATGGTTATTGGCAAGATTAAAACTCTCCAACTCACAGATGGATATAAAGATAAAGAAAATCCAGTATTTTGTTGACTTATGTTCATATAACTTTATTGGGTGGTTATGGTAATGGGGAAATAGGTGAGAATACAGGAAAGGCTTGTGGCCCTGTTTGCCTTGTAAGAAATTGAACTTTGCAAACAAACCCAGGGGAAACTAGCGAGGTGGGAATAAAGACTGCCAGACTAGGGGTCTGGGGCCGAAGTATTTTATTAATATAAAACTTTGCATATAAATGCCCAGTTTCACTACCAAGGGCTTTCTGAAACATTGGTAGTAGATGAAGTAATGCAACAATTTTTTTTTTCTTTGAGGCAGGGTCTGGACTGCGGTGGTGCAATCATAGTTGACTGCCACCTTGGTCTCCTGGGCTCAAGGGATCCTCCCGCCTCGGCCTCTCGAGTAGCTGGGATTACAGGCAGGCACCACCATGCCAGGCTAATTTTTTAATTTTTCTTTTATACAGATAGAGTGTCACTCTGTTGCTCATGCTGGTCTCCATTGTCTGGGCTCAAGTCATCCTCCTGCCTCGGCCTCTCAAAGTACAGGGATTATAGGTGTGAGCTACCAAGCCTGGCTGCAGCCGTTACTAAGCCAACTTGCTGTTAGAAGCCAGGAGTTTCTCAAGTTTCTGAGAACACAAAGGTGAACCCCAGACAAGCCAGGTTTACAGAGTGTATGTTCCAGTCGGGGAGCCAGTACAAAAAACACCAAGGCAAAATATATTCCAGTGGTGACACATTTTCAGAAACAGACAGACACTGCAAAGGGGTAGAAAGGAATGGCGGGGGAGAAGGCGGGGCAAGCTTTAGAAAGGACAGCCAGGCAAGGACACAGTTTCAGAGGTGAGAAGGAGCTGGCAGTGTGAAGAGCCACAGGAAAAGTGTTTTGGGCAGAAGGAACGGAAAGTGAATTGGAGCCTCATCAAGGCAAACATTATTCATTGAATTGCCCAGGCAAGTTGTTCATGTGCCCTGTGAGTTCTGAATGTAGAATTGAGGTCTATTTTTGAAGGGAAGTATTGGTCCTTTCTTTGTGTCTGTGAGGGAAAGTTTACTATATCTACTTACAGTAGGAGAGAAATGTACATGTCTGAAAACCCACTGAGGGAGAAAGGGGCAGTGACGGATTCTAAATGTTAATAATGCAGATAGCCTTTTCGTTATGTGTCAATTTTTGTAAATGTATTGCTTATATAGCTTTTTATGAGCCAATAATGGCTTAGAAAGGTAAATGACTTTCCCAAGGTCATACTACCAGTACACTTAGGAGCCAAGATTAATCTTAGATGACTTTGTGAAATGTCCCATTAAATATAAACGTGTGTGTGTGTGTGTGTGTGTGTGTATTGCATTGCATGCATTATGGTTTAACAGATGAACATTCACTTGACACATTATGTTTTAACTTTATTAATAACATTTTGTGGGCTAAGGTCATATTTTGCCTGCTTGACATATGGATTTTAAAGGGCAAGGGCCTTAGAATACAAACCATCCTGTAAAGAGTATCATATTCTCGAAAACATGTTCATACTCATCAGTCAAGGCATTGCAGTTGGCTGGGCGTGATGGCTCATGCTTGTATTCCCAGCACTTTTGGAAGCCAGGGTGGGTGGATCACTTTAGGTCAGGAGTTTGAGACCAGCCTGGCTAGCATGGTGAAACCCCATGTCTACTAAACATACAAAATTAGCTGGGCATGGTGGCATGTGCCTATAATCCCAGCTGCTTGGGAGGGTGAGACAGGAGAATCGGTGGAATCAGGGCTACGGAGGTTGCAGTGAGCCAAGATCACGTCACTGCACTCCAGCCTGGGCAACAGAGCTAGACTCCGTCTCAATGAAAAAGAAAAGGAAAAAAGAAAGAAAGAAAAGAAAAATAAGGCATTGCTGTTAATAAAACAATGATAAATTATTTCACAGTCACCAGATTGGCGAAAGATTAAGTAATAAGGCAGTAACAAGTATTGGAAGGATATGGAGAAATAGGGAATTTTATTCATTACTGAACTGAAATAGCCATTTTGAAAAATATTTTGGTATTACCTAATAAAGTAGTACTTAACAACTCATGCAATTTCATTCCTATAAAGATGCCTAAGAGAAGCTCTTAAGAAGTAGGGAAAGTTTCAGAGTGCTTCTGGCATGTTATTTGTGATAGCAAGAAACTGTAAGGTCCCCAAAAGACATCTACAATAAAAAGGGGGAATCAGTGGAGACACATCTCTGTATACTAGTTAGCGGTAACAACGGATGGCTACCAGAACCTTCATCAACATAGAAGAATCTCAGTAATATAATATAGGATTAAAACAGCATTACAGCTGGGCATGGTGGCTCACGCCTATAATCCCAGCACTTTGGGAGGTTGAGGCTGAGAGAGGCAGATCACTCAAGCTGAGGAGTTTGATACCAGCCTGGGCAATGTAGTGAGACCCCATCTCTACCAAAAATACAAAAGTTAGCCAGGCATGGTGTCATGTGCATGTGGTTTCAGCTACTTGGAGACTGATGTGGGAGGGTTATTTGAGCCCAGAAGGTTGAGGCTGCAGTGAGCCATATGATTGCACCGCTATACTCCAGCCTGGGCTACTGAGTAAGACCCTGTCTCAAAAATAACTTAAAAAAAATCAAATAAATCAAGCATTTCCATAGGTGAATATATACAGTATGATTACTTTTATAGAAAGTTGAAAATACTGGCAAACCTAAACATATTGTTTGAGGATATTTGCTAAAACTCTAAAGAAAAGCAAGTGAATGAATAACATAAAATATGAGCTATTGTTTTCCCAGATGTGTGGTGGGATGGGCATGGCGGGGAGGAAAACAGAATGGTCCCATGGGGACAGATACACAGGGGAGAGACTGGAAAGTTTTCTTTCTTAAAATGACTGATAGGTACCAATGTAGTCATTCTCTATATTAATAAAGTGTACATATGTTGCTTATATGAAGTCTTTGGTTACATGTAGCATATACCCAAAAATCTGCTTCCAGAATTAAAAGCTTAAAAAATGGTCTAGTACCTTGAAACCGAAATAGGGGTCAGATACTTGGCTATTTTGTTTTTTTCTTCTTAGCTATTTTGACCTACTGTAAGATTTTGCCGGATGGAAAAATAAGAATGTGTGTTTACACCCTGTGCTTTGAATTTCTCCATTCTTCACTCCTTCCTGTATGTCAGATACGTCTTTCTAAAACACACCTTTGTCACATCATTCCTCTGCTCAAAAACGTGCAGTGGCTCCCTGTGTCCTCTGGGACTAAGCTTGTAATACTCAGCTTGTCATGCCTTTGCCCAGTGTACTCTCTTTCTCACTAATTCGTTCACTATTTCAGTGCATTTTCTTGAAACACCTTCGTAGACAGCCACCAGATGGGTAGCAGCAATGCTGCATTGAACCCTGAATCAGAACCTTTCATCAGGTTTACTGGCTTCCTGTCCTTGCCACAGCATCTGCTCATTCTCCATCTTCACTTGAACAAACTTCACATTCTCTACTTGCGTATCATTCAGTATTCTTGCTACATAAATCAACACAAATTTTGCAGCTTTAAGCAGCACACATGTATTAGCTCATGGTTTCTGTGGATCAGGAATCTGAGTATGGCTTAGCTGGATCCTCTGCCTAGGGTCTTACAAAGTTGCAGTCAGATATTGGCCAGGGTGTGTTCTGATCTGGTAGCTTGACTGGGGAAGAATTGGCTTCTTGGATCACTCAGATGACTAGCAGACTTTATTTCCTTGTAGCTTTTTCACTCAGGACCTGGCTTCTTGCTGATGGTTGGGTGTTGGCTGGAGGCAGCCCTCAGCTCCTAGAGGCAGGCATAGTTCCTTACTATCTGGACTTTTCCCACATGGCAGCTTTCTTCAAGTCAGCAAGAAGAGTCTCTGGGGCAAGTTGGCCAGCAAGATGGAGTTTTATATGCCCAGTGTAATCATGGGAGTGATGCATACCTCATCATCTTTGCCAGATTCTGCTGAGTAATAGCAAGTCAGAAGTCCTGCACACATTCAGAGGGAGGGAACAGTGGGGTGAATACCAGGAGGTTGGGATTATGTGGGCCACCTTAGAGTTTGTCAGCCACAACTTGAGGTTCCTTCTCTCCTCTGACTCTAAAACCTGAATCTTATCTCAAGTTGTCTGTGGTTGCTTCCTTCCTGAAAGGAGGAAGAAGCCCATGAGTGTCTCATGGCCAGAAGATCTGCCTTCAAAGACTACTACCTACGTTGTCACAAATGGCAAGATTTCATCCTTTTTTATGGCCGAATAATATTTCACCGTATATGTGAACCACATTTTTTAAATGCATCTCTGAACCTGGAGGACATTGTGTTAAGTGAAAGAAGCCAGACACAGATAGACAAATACTGTACTAGCTGACTAATAATGTGGAATCTAAAAAAATCAAACTCAGAGAAAAAAAGAGTAAGAATGGTGGTTGCTGGGGCTAGTGGGTGGGTGAAGTGGGGAGATGGTCATGAAAAAGTTCAAACTTTTCATTATTAATAAACCAGTTCTGGGGATCTAATTTACAGCCTGAATGGTGATGGATGTGTTAATTAATTTGATTGTGATAAACATTACACAATGTATATAGAAATCAAGTCATTCTATTATACACCCTGAATATATTCACTCTTTATTTTTCAATTAAATATGTATATTTTTAAAGCTGCTATCTAAAGCCTTAAAGTTAAGGCAGGAAGATTTTGAAGAAAGACTTTGCATATGTTAATTGCTGCCTGGGAGCCTCCTTCAGCTGGGATGAGAAATCATCTTGGCGTGAGTTCTACCCCTGCGGATGAGGGCCAGACAACACATCAAAACTCCCTTTCTCATTTGTTTCGTTTTGTTTTTCAAAGTTATTAGACTATGGAAGACTAGGATCTCCCTAATACTGTTTTTTCTCAGAATTTAGAACATAGTTGTTTAGCAGATACTAGACTGGAATAGCTCAATTTTCAGGTTGCCAGATGCCCTGAGGACATGGTGTTAATCTTACACATACCCATTCATCTGCAGGACTACTGAGGGATGCTCAGGAAACCGAAAGGATTTCTGCCTGGATGGCGAGAAGGCCCAAATTGTCTGCTTTCACTCCATCCTAAGATCCTACAACTTCAGCTTTGCCTTGATCCTGGGACGTTGGGTCTTTCACATTCCCTCTCTTAAGTGATGCGTTTGATACATATTTATTAAGCACCTACTGTGTGGTGCATATTTAATAAGCACCTACTATGTGCCATTATAGATCATGGTACAGTTTTGAAAGCACAACCTGAATAATGATGACACCCTCCTAAAGCCACTATCTGGTTGATTATTCTTAGCGCTATGAAGAAAAATTTCATTAAATCAAATCACAACTCCATTTACTTTTAACCCAATATGGTGAAGTTATCAACATAAAATGCCTCTCTATACTTGAAGATGAAAAATGCCTAGATAAATACTGCATGGGACATTTTAAAACATGTAAAAAAATCAATTTTCATAAGGTTACATCTTTTTACCTCTTTATATAAAACATGCTATATTAAAAGAGAGATTAAATTTTACTCTGTGGAGTAAAATGCAAACACAGAATTATTTTTTTCATTTTTCAGAGCATGTACTGGATTATTATTTATTTATGAGGCTTTTTTTAATCTAGAATATATGGAAATCTTTTCTTGAAGCACAATATAATATTGAATTGGGAATGTTGTCTGACAGTTTCCCTCTTACCGTTGCATAGAATGATTCTCCTGTATGAATTTTTAAAAGAAACTTCAATATACTCTGCATTTGAAAGGGAAGAAGTAATCGCCATAATCTCGAGGAATCTTTTAAATCGCCTTCCTTCCAGTTCTTGTATGTTTCACCAACTTTTCTGCAGCAAATACTGCTTCTGTGATTTTTCAGAACTCCAAGTGTTCACTGTTCTTCCTTTTATGCAAAATGTATACTTCATAATTGAAGTTCACTTCCCAAAAGACATAGCTTGGTTCAGCATAGAGCTATGATGTGATTTCTTTTTGTTCCTTTTGCACGCTTTCCTTGTTTGGAGGGATTGGGCTTGGATCCTTCCTTCTCCATGAGGCAGATATTTTTCCATTTCACTCTCCTTAAGTGATGAAGCTGCACAACCATGGAAGCCGAGATCAAGTAAAAATGCTGCCTTGGGATTGGTAGCTCATACGTGTAATTCTAGCACATTGGGTGGCCCACGCAGGAGGAACACTTGAGGCCAGAAGTTTGTGAACAGTTTGGGCACCATATCAAGACTCTGTCTCTACCAAATAAAAATATTAGCTGGGCATGATGGCTTATACCTGTAGTCCCAGCTACTCAGGAGGCTAAAGAGGGACATCTCTTAAACCCCAGTGATTCAGACTTCAGTGAGCTGTGATTGTGCCACTGTACTTCAGTACCTGGGCAACAGAACAAGACCCTCTCTCTTAAAATAAATGCTGCCTTGGGTATTTTAATCCTGTTTCAAGATTGCTTCTAAGGCTAAAATTTCTGTACCTCCCCCACACTATCATCTGCTCACTTTTATATATCTTGACCATTTTATTTTTCATCCCATCTTCTCTCCATGTATTAGTTAGCTATTGCTGTATAACAAATGACCCCAGAATGCAGTGGTTGGTCTATAGGTGGTCCTGCTTCAGCCTTCTCATTCTGTAGCTCAGGTTGAAAGTTGTGTCATGAATTGGGAAGCATTCTTCTCCTGGCGCAAATTAGTTGTCACCAATGTCTCATAAGGGTTTGGCTGAAACTTAGCACATCTCATTGCTTTCATTGGCTAAAGCCAATTACATATCCAAGCCCAGTTTCAGAAGGGAAATTGTGTGACTTCCAAGGAGGAGAGAGGATGGAAAGTGAATATTTGCTGAACAGACTTTCTGTCCAGTTTGTTGGATTTGCTGGTGGTGCAGGGCAAATATATGTTTAAAACCTTGTTTAGATTTTAGCCTTCTTCCGAACAGAGCTTTTAAATGTGAGCATAGTTTCTCTAAATTCCAGCATTGCTGCCAAGAGTGAAGGGTGCCCTGACCATGAGCTCATCGTTTAGCTGGCTCACCTTTTATTCAACCCTGAGTTCACCAGGAAGGATGCGCATACAGCCCTGGGTGTGATGCCCTAATTTTGAGCCAGACCAGCTACAGTTCAAGTCCAAACCATTCCACTTCCTAGCTTTGGGACCATGGACAATTTAGTCATTCTTTCTGGGCTTTGATTCCTAAATTATTTAAAGGGGAATGATTATATCTACATTCATTGTTTTTCACGGAGACCTATTAGACAATTCCCCAGTCCATAGCTCTGGGAGGCCATGTGTTAACACTCTGTTCGACCCATCTTCCTAGCAGTCTTGGGGAAGCGGGCCACTTTGCGAAGAATCTGTTGGTAGGGAATGTCAGTGACATGACTTTCAGTTTAGCACATGTACAGATGACCTTTTCTGGGCTTGTGCCGTTGGTAATTCAGTTTCGGGATTTCACTTTGACAGAATGTATTCAACTATAGTTTCTTGGTATCAATTGTACCCTTATGGCCACAGTTTTTCCCGATAACCAAGACTCACTAATTAACATTTTCACAAGAACATTTGTCACACAGGTCCAGATTTCAGAGGAAAAAAGTAAACAGCCATTGTTCCTGTAGATACTTTATAATATATTTGGGGAATATCACTGGCCACCTGCTTCAGAAAATACTTAGCTACTGTCTAATCTGAATCTAAGATGCTATACGCTAATTAAGCTGTTGTTGATACTTTCTTGCCTTTTGACAATTAAAGATAGTCTCATACCACTGGACTAGTCTTTTGCCATTCAATTTTATATTTATATATAAAAATGCATGCATGCTAAATTATATATTACTTCTTGCACACACACACACACACACACACCCCAAATTTAAAAAGACAGATACATAGATAGGCAGTTGTTATGATCTGTGTGCAAGAAATTTATTTCCAGTTGTGGGTCGTTTGGAAAAAGATCAATAAGATGCATCAACATTATAGGTAAAGGAAAATGAATACAGCCACATGGTTTTCTGCGTGGCTTCCAGACTTGCATCTCTGACACTTGGAACATGTATTATGTGCTATAGAACATCTGTCTGTGAACAGGTAAATGGCAAAGGTGCATCCCTACAAATAAATATCACTGTGATGCTGTTACGGCTTCGTTGATTGTGTTGATATTACTTATGAACTTTCTTGCTTTTCAGAAACCTCCGCCACAAAAGAATCATTAGCAGGAGTGTTACATCTTACATCTTCTGCGTTTTTTCCTTTGCCCTGTTCATAGGTGTGTGTTTGCTTGGTTTTTCCATATTGTCAGCCGCTTCATCACGTTTGGTTTCTCATTTTTGCCTCACTTTTTCGTTCTGTTTCTAGTTATTGTGGCTGTTAAAAAAAATCAATTTAATGATTCAGCAACACTTATGAAGTTCCTCTTTGTGGGTGTTACTTTACTAAGTGCCAGGGATGAAAGGGCAGATTTTGCTTTGTTATTAACTCAGAGCTTAGTTAAGGAGATAAATACTTATGCATATGTCGACAGTATGAGCGATGTGGAATGACAGTGGGACAGCGGGGCAGGGCAGGCTCCAGAGATGAAGAGATGGCCGAGCCAAGTTGAAGGGTAAACTGACTTCACCAGACAAAGTAAGGAAGGGCACCCAGGCTGAAGGACCATGGGAGGGGCAAGCATGGCTTCGTCTTAAGAAAATATAAACCGGGAAGTAGGAAACAGCACAAGACGAGGTGGGTGAGAGAGAAAGATGCCAGGTAAGGTGCAGTGACGTGCCAGAGACCGTGGAGATGGCATTCTAATTAAGAAACAGAAGCCAGGAAACTCCTAAACTTCCAGGTTATGCAATCGGAGAGTTGATGAAATGTAAGAGATCATCTCTGTCTCTGTCACATTACCGATGGAGAAGTGGGTTGAGAATTAGTGTGTTTTCACTTCTTTGTTTAAAGAAAATAAATATCATCCACCTTGCAACATAGTTGTGAGAAATGAAACGAGGAAATAATATCTTTAAATCTCCTACTGTGATACCCAGATCACGGTAGTGCTTGGGAAATGTGTCTCTGCTTCTGAAATGAGGCTGCCTGGAAGACTCACTGAAACCCAAAGACAGTGTCTCTGCATTTCACTCCCAGTCATAGACTCCAGGTCTGAATGTTAAAATGCAGGTGGCTGTGAGGGAGTCTTCTGAGTCATGCCAGTGTTTAAGGCATGTGCTCTTTGTGCATGTTCCTGCTTTCCCCAAAGCCTATTGAAAGCAAGGGCCTTGTTTGCTATTTTCTTTGACGGTGGGGGATTTCTTTTTCTTTTTTTTTCTTTCCTTTTTTTTTTTTTTTTTTTTTCTGAGACCGAGTCTCACTCTGTCACTCAGGCTGGGTGCGGTGGTGCAATCTCGGCTTACTGCAACCTCCACCTCCCAAGTTCAAGTGATTCTCCTGCCTCAGCCTCCGAGGAGGTGGGACTACATGCGTGTGCAACCATGTCTAGCTAACTTGTACTTTTAGTAGGGACAGGGTGTCACTTTGTTGCCCAGGGTGGTCTCCAGCACCTGAGGTCCAGCATTTCACCTGCCTCGGCCTCCCAAAGTGCTGGGATTCCAGGTGTGAGCCACTGTACCTGGCCTCCAACAGAGGATTTCAATCAATGCTGAGCATCAATTACACATTGATTGCCTCTGTGATTGCAGGTAAATAACACTGTTTTGGAGCTAAGTCACTCATCAGAAGCAAGGACTCCTGGCAGATGCCCAAAGGCATTGACCAGTGGTTTCTGTCATGGACAAATTGCCAAATGCAAAGCCTGAACCCCAGTCACAGAAAGAACGTATTTAGCTTATGTACACTTTTCTACAGCATTACTCTTCATGATCCAACAACTCTGGTATTAGTATAACTATAGGAACAACTTTTGTAACATTATCTTGTTAGCAGAGTACATGAATAATTTGAAGTCAAAATTCAGCTCCACGAAGAATGCCATAGTGAGAAAATCATGACAAAGATTAGTCTTCCGTGAGAAGTTTGCTAATTATTCTTCGTTTAATAATGCCGTGTATGATGGCCTTCATTAGAATGAATTCTTTCAACACCTGCTATGCCTCTGTCACTTCAGACATGCCTTCTCATTTCCTTGGTAGTGTCTGCCCACCCAGGTGGTAATTTCTGGTCATAAGTCTAATTCAGTAGATATCTGTGAACCCTTCACAAAGAGTAATCTATTAAAAAGGAACAAAAAAAAGTATATCTGTGAACTTATTAAATGACTTTAATGGTATGAAAATCAGCCATCAGACTTATTAGTGTGGTTGAATTTTCTTAATTTAAGTGCTTTCTTGGTTATTTTCTGTTGTTAATCATTATTGTGTATCCTTAACGTGCAGGATATGACACTGTATAACAAGTGTTTTAAAAATATTTACAATTCTGATCTTATAAAGAAAAAAGTTACATATGGTCATTTGAACTAATTGCTAAAATGACACTACATTAATTAGATAATTAAGGGTCTGGAGCATGCGGCTATTGTATTCATTGGGCCGGAAGCCAACATTTTCTATAGCTGAGAAAATGGGTTAGCATAATTCAAAATTCAATCGCTGTACCCTTTTTCTTATGAATAGATAATACAGAATGAGTCTTAAATCTGGATGGGAAAAACTAACAGGAACTGGTTTTATTTTAATTAAGTTTTAAAGCACTTCTAGGCCATCTCTTTGTCTGTATAGTTTAACCCTTTGAAGTTGTGACTGCCAGCGTGCTAGGCTTCTCATCTTACACATTAATGGTAATGATCTTTTTAGATTTATTGTAAACCTCTAGGAATATTTTTTTTTTTAAACCAATAAATGCCTTGAAACATGGAATCAGAGTCTCTTTCCCCTCGGGCCCCTCCTCCTGGGGAATAAATGCTACCCATAGATGGAAGTAGTTTATGTCCGTACATTTTTACGTGCTTTAACTTATCAAGGTTATTTGTCAGGAAAATTATCTCTTGTAACACGAGGCTCCCTACGTTTAGATGACAGGACTTAATACAAAAGTTTTTCCCATACCAACTAGTAGTGTAAGTGGATTTCATATCCTTTTATTTTATAAAGTTTTGCTTATCAGGTTTGTCATCCTCTATTTGAAATTAAAATGTGTGGTTTCGAGATGACCTTACAGTAACTGACCCCCAAATCTAATCACTCCGTGCGTCTCTGAAAATCGACAAATATGTCAGGTAGAACTTGGGACATCAAAACATTGTTTTAAATATTTCATTTGTAGGCAAGGCAAAGATCATTTTCAGGTTAGTCCTCTGAGAGGGAACGCTGGGTACAGGAACATCTTTGGTTTCTCTGCTCTCTAATCGACACTCATTATCTATGGCTTCATATGAGCAGAAAGTGTACATTTATATGTTCTGCATGAGTGAATTATTGATTGGATTTATGGCCAGAAGGATGTTCCTAAGTGGTCAATACATAGCCAAGTGTGTCAGGTGAAGGTAAAAATAAAGTAAGAGCTATACTTTTGATAGCAATTGCTGTTGGATTATGTTAGGCTTGTCCTTTGAGGTTACTGTTGAATATACTTAAAAATGTTAATTATATTAATTTAGATAAGAATGTATTTTCTTTCTTTTTTTTTTTTTTTGAGACGGAGTTTCACTCTTGTTACCCAGGCTGGAGTGCAATGGCACGATCTCGGCTCACCGCAACCTCCACCTCCTGGGTTCAGGCAATTCTCCTGCCTCAGCCTCCTGAGTAGTTGGGATTACAGGCACGCACCACCATGCCCAGCTAATTTTTTGTATCTTTAGTAGAGATGGGGTTTCACCACGTTGACCTGGATGGTTTCGATCTCTTGACCTCATGATCCACCCGCCTCGGCCTCCCAAAGTGCTGGGATTACAGGCTTGAGCCACCGTACCCGGCAAGAATGTATTTTCAATGAGTATTTCTTATAAATTGGAAGTATCAATGTTTTCTTACATGTAGTGATTTATTTTTTCAAAAATTGTGTTTGGTATATGACCTGACATTGATTGGCCTACCTTGATTCTCTTTTGGTGTACGAGGACAGTTTTAAAATGTGGATATATTTTGCACATAATTAAAACATTATGTGTGGCTGGGTGCAGTGGCTCACGCCTGTACTCCCAGCACTTTGGGAGGCTGATGTGGGTGGATCCCAAGGTCAGGAGATCGAGAACATCCTGGCTAACACAGTGAAATCCTGTCTCTACTAAAAATAAAAAATTGGCTGGGCATGGTGGCACATGCCTGTAGTCCCAGCTACCAGGAGGCGGAGGCAAGGGAATCTGTTGAACCCGAATGGCGGAGGTTGCAGTGAGCCGAGATTGCACCATTGCACTCCAGCCTGGGCGACAAGAGTTAAACTCCATCTCAAAAAACAAAAACAAAGACCGTTATGTGAAATCCTTGTGTTTCTAATTATTTGTTGACCAATGACAACTGCACAAAAATGTCATCATTCTATTGGTTGTTGATTGATCAGCCTTAGCTCGATGCCTGTATCTCCGCTTAGTCATTCCTAGTAGGTGACTGATGACCCCCTGCTTAACAGTAAGCTTGTTATGCATAATTAGAGTTATTAGAAAAGTCTTCATCACATTGAGCCAAAGAAAGGCTCCCAGCTGTTTCCATCGGGGGTCCTTCTTCCACCCCTTGGTTGCAAAATGCCCTGGAGACCCGTTACATCCTATACCAGTTATGAGAGGCCCTTCCAGTGATGTACCGAGAACCTCCTATGGGAACCAGAGCTCTGCTAATTTTGGGGACAAGAAATGATGATAGTGCCTTGTCCTTGAGGTGTCTTAGTCTTATGACCAAGTACATGCTGTCAAATGCATATTTGATCTACTTAAGCTCAACCTCACTGGAGAGACCTAGGAACTTACAGAGTGCAGGTGATTTATCCATTCCCCTCTCTGAGCAGAGCTCTTGAGAAAGATAGGAGTTAGGAGAAGTGAATCTTTTGTTTTTGAAGTCTTTGTACTTGTGAGTCTTTTAATGGGAGTGTCTTGTAATGCAAAGTCTTTAAAGTCGTGTTTTCTGTAATCCCAGGAGGCTGTTTTATCCTTTGGTTCAACCAAAGAACAGGGCCAAGCCAGAGTTGAAGCAACAGCTGATTCTCTCGGTCCTCCTGAGAGAGAAGATATAACTGGCTCTAAAGGAAATGGCATTTCTGAGTAATTCTGACAGTACTCAGATCTGCTTCGTGTACCGGTTTTAGAAACTTACCTACTCAGTGTAAAACGAGATGCCACTGTGGCATCTTCAGAGGAATTCAGAAGCATGTCTTAATGACTCCATTAAGAAGAGTTCTGTTTCTGTTTTCTCTGAAAAGCATCCCAGGTCATAAAATGTAATGTGGGATTGTTGGTTTTGTGGGAAGATGCACTTGGCAGCAATTCCTTGAGAGGAGGCCTGGAAATGTCAGGGTCCCCCATTCATCTTCCCAAGCTGGGACTGACCCAGTGATAAGAAAATGATAATGCAGGTGCCTTCAATGTCAAGCCATCACGGGGAGGGTGGGGGGTGGCTTGGCCCAGGAACCCATGCCCCGATGTGGTGTTGGTAATCTAGAGGGTTTTGAGTTAAGTGCTTTTGACATGCAAAATCAGAAGTCAAGGGCGAAGCTGCCTTTTAAATGCTCTTTCTGAAAGAGTCCACTGCAGATGTAATTGAGCCTCTCAGGTGAAGAGCTTTATTAGAGCAAAGCTGGTTAGTGTTGCATACCTGTTTGGGGGAATATTTTAGGCATCCTCACATAACTACTCCGTGACATTGCTGAAGGTCCCCAGCCTCCTTGCTCTTCACTTAAGAAGGAAAATGCTGTTGCAGAAATGTTGTCTAAGTTTTCCCATTCACCGTGGCCCAAATCAACCTGTCCCTTCCTTTTTTGAGCACAGCGTGTAATTAGAAAGTTATTCGTGTGTTTGGTGTATGTCTTCCACAGTGGAAAGTAAGATTCGTGAGATCTAGGACCGTGTCTGTCTTGATCATTTCTGCTTCTCCAAGACTAACACAAGGCCTGGCGGGATCATCGTCACCATCACCGTAGCTAATATTTATTGCCATATATACTTATGTAAGACACTGTAAGAAGGGCTTTACATGAATTATTCCCCCCCACGGAGTCAAGAGTCAAAAGCTAATTGGCCAAGATGAAAGTGTGTACATCTTGGAAACCAAACGCTGGAATCCTTAACCCCAGGATGTGACTTTCCAGCCTTGGGATTTCGCTGCACGTTGCTTAATCTCTTGGCTTACATTTCCTCATCGGTAGAACTGAAATAATAATTCCCATCTGCTGAATTTGCTGTAAGGATTAAACACAAGGACTGATCTAAGTCCGGCATATAAAGAGAGCCCATTACAAGTGAACTGAGGTGTTATTTTTATATATACCTTACAGAGTATGAGTGTCAGGCATGCTATTGAGTGAAAGAAGACAGAGTCTTAACAGAGTACATTTTCTATGCTATCGTACCGTTTGTGTAAAGGTGAAAAGCAGGCAGGAATTTTTCATGGGAGAGGTCAGAATAGCAGTTACCTTACCAGAGGATGGTGATCTTGAAGGGACAGGAAGGACTCTTGTGGTTGTACTGGAAATTTTCCCTTCATCTGGTGGGTGACGATGATTATGTGGGTGTGTGCATGTGTCAAAGTTCATCAAGCTATAAACTTAATATTTGTGCACATTGGTGCGTGTAAGCAATACCTCAAAACACTTATTTGAGAGCGTTTTTCATTCAGTGACAGAATTTTTCTTCTACCTCAGTCTAAGCACATAGTGGGTTTTCCCAGCAACCGGGGTTCCTGAGGGCTGGGTGGTGAAGAGGCAGGAAGGCTGAGATGACCTCGTGACTTAATTCCCTCTTCAGCTGAGGCCTCTACCCCTGGCCTGTCCAAAGGTAGTTATAGATCTTTTACTCAAAACTTGAACCTTAGAAGAAATTCTTCAGCCATGTCCCTGTGAACTAAATTTAGTGTCAGATTTACAAGGCTGTGGTTCTGACCACCCCCGGGCTATTTCTGACCACACGGACAGCTTAAATGATGTGGCGCATAAAATGTAATCTGCAAGCTCAGGCTGAATGTCTGTCTATTTAGGGCCAAGAGGAGACCAGGCCTTGGCAGCAGTTCTCCCTGCGGTAGGATCTTAAGCTGAATGGAGACCATCACCCTGGTTGCTAGCCCCAGGATGCTGGGAATTCCTTAGCATTCTGTCTCTTTGGGGATCAGCCACTTAGTTGTGGGGTTGATCCACATATCCACTGACTACCTCCCTAAAACTGGATCCACTAATGGGCCCCAACTCAGCTCTCACTGGCCAGGAGTCCTTGGAATGGATTTAGCAAGCCCAAGGCACCCAAGAGGCTCTCCTGAAATTGTGTTTTCTCCTTGCTTTTCCTTATGGTGACCCCACCAGGGCTCCTTGACTCAGTGACGACCCCTTCTCAAGTCACTTCACAGCACAATCTGTTTTTGTTGTTGTTGTTTTGCTTTTTGCCTAGTTTGTGCTTGTCTCCTCCATCGAGGCTTGGTTCTGGTCCTTTCCCCTGCACCGCCCAGGCAGGGGCGGATTCCCGTATCATGGTGCACCTTGGCCTGATGCTGTGGGCTCTGCATTAGAACTCATCTTCTGAAATCTTTTATTATCTTGTGTTCTCATCCAAGCTGTACATCTTCCTTCACTTCGGAGACTGGGTGACCAGCGTGGTGGCTCATTCCTGTAATCCCAGCAGTTTTGGAGGCCGAGGGTGGAGATTGCCTGAGCCCAGGAGTTTGAGACCAACCTGGGCAATATAGCAAGATGTCATCTCTATCTAAATAAGTAAATAAATAAATAATTAGGCCAGGTGCAGTGGCTCACACCCGTAATCTCACACTTCAGAAGGCTGAGATGGGAGGATCGCTTGAGCCCAGGAGTTCAAGACCAGATTGGGCAACATAGCAAGACCCTTTTTCTTTAAAAAAGTAAATTTTAAATTAAAAGTTAAGAAGTGGAGGTTGCAGTGAGCCAAGATCATACCACTGCACTTCACCCTGCATAAAAGAGCAAGATCTTCCTTTTTTTTTTTTTCCCCCCCAAAAAAAAGAAGCAAAGAGATTTGGGGGCAGGACGCCATGATATAATTACTGTAGGTAACCTAAGGCAAGAAAATTCTCTCCATGTCTCTGCTTCCTTCCTGGTGAAATGGGGAGATAAGAGTAGATTTCTTCTTTAGTTTTACTTTTCTAGTTGAAGTCTATTTATCATCCTCCATACCTACCACCTGCCAGTTGCTGGATTAGATGCTGTTTCACTCATTATCCAATTGAATTCTCCAGCAACCTTGCAAAACACTTGTTATGTCCATTTTAGAAATGAGAAAATGGTGACTCAAAAGATTAAGAAACTTGTTCAGTGTGACTAAGTCACAATTTGAATATTAAGAATAATGAGCATTTATTAACTGCCTATTGCACGTATAGGATTTTGCTAAATGTTTCATATCAATCATCTCATTTCATCTCTATCATAACCCTATGATGAAAACGCCATTATTATTTCTTTGATAGAGCAGAATTTTGATTTAGAAAGGTTAAATGATGTGCCCAACATCATCTCTCTCTACCTGATAGGTCTTTAATTTCAGACTCAGGTTTGTGTGAGTCCCGAAGTCGTGCCGTTGTTACAATATACCATGTTGCATGACTTCGTATCCTGGATGGAAAAATCCCCTCTTCCGCTTTTCTTACCGTACAAGATATGCCAAGATTCTATAGCATCTGAATTTGAAAACCTCTACTAATTCACGAGGCAGTCTATTTGATAATGGCATGATATCGCTAGCACTCCTTTTTTAGAGATAAGGTCTCATCACTCTGTTGCCCAGGCTGGAGTGCAGTGGTGCAATCATAGCTCTCTGCAGCCTTGATCTCCCAGGCTCCACGGATCCTCTGGCCTCAGCCTCTTGAGTAGCTGGGACCACAGGCAGATGCCACCATGCCTGGCAAATTTTTTTTTTATAGAAATGGAGTCTCCCTCTGTTGCCCAGGCTTGTCGTGAACTGGGTTCAAGCAATCTTCCCACCTTGGCCTCCCAGAATATTGGGATTTCAGGTGTGATCCACCACACCAGGCCTAGTTAGTACTCTTTAAATTTTTATTTTTTTTTCTTTAAATTTTTAAAACAACTTTTCAGAGAAAGCAACCAAAGGGAGCATAACTCTGACAAGAATTAAAAAGAAAATAAAACAATTCAGCAACTCTCTTACAGAGTTTTATCATCATCCCATTCATAATTGATTGGAAACGTACATGAATCTTTCAAGATAAGTGTCTTATTGATTATCCTGAAAACAAGCGATCACTTGGCATCCTGAGATTCGCTCACTGCCCTCCGCTGATTACCGTAAACAGAGATGTTGATCAGAAGAAATGTCACTTTCTTTGGTGTTGGATCCATAGGGCATTTTGAGGCATTGGGTAGGGAGTGGAGGGAGTGAAGTGGCCCAGGTAGGGAGGTGCTTGATGGCTTGACCGTGGCCTTCACTTTGCCTTTTGAGGAGCTGGAAACAGACATTTGTTGGACATCTAATACAGTCTTGATCTGTTATATGATCCTTCGGCAAGGACTTTTTTCCGGTAAGTGTGCAAAATGTCCCACTGAATGCCAATTCATTGCTGTCAGGCAACATTAAGTCTCCTAAGTGACATCCTTTTTCTGCATGTTTGCTTATGGTTATGTAAATCAAGCGGGCCTCCCCCTTGGAAATGATTGCAGTGTTTACAAGGAACTTAACCTGGTCTTCTGTAGTTATGGGAAATAGAGAAAATACAAATGTGACCTGCAATTCAGTTCAGCATTATGAAGCTATTGCTGCTCCCTGAGTGGTGGTCACAGCACTGCTCTGTGGCCCTAACCCTTGCATTCCTGCTGGCAGGCCTTACAGGTGTGCAGAGAGGGTTAGTATTGGCAAGGTAAATGGATAAGCAGGAAGTTTCCCCTGGGTGGCTCCATTGCTCCAGGTGAAGCCCTTGAAATACTCTCTGGGTGACAATACCCTCAAATTTGAATAGGTTGTAGCAGTTGGCAAACAGAAGGAGACCACACTCAGGGGTTTTCAGTGCAGATAATGGAGATTCCAGCCATTGCATTCAATTCCCAGCCTGATTTATTGAGGCTGCCACTGGTGAAATACTTGGTTTATATATTGTGGGGCCAGGATGGGGCTTCTCTGTACTCAGATGAGGCTTGCTCTCAGGAAGTTTTCATTTAGCAGTAAAATCTGCCCTTTTGGGGCTCTGAAACTTATTTTTGAAGTAGACTCACAACTTGGTTGCAGCAGGTTGGGAAGAGGAATGAAACACTCTTACTACAATCACAGAACTTCAAAAGCTGCCTGGAGGACCCGTTAGTCCATTTTTCCTAAATGCGGACACAGAATCAGAGAAAGTGATTCATTCATTCAGTCGCTTGAGTTCTTGTCTCGTGTTCATTCCTGCTGAGATGTCCCAGGTGCCTCTTAATGCCTTTGACATCTGCTAAGCGTATTGAACTTATCAATGTAGCACCACGTTATTGAGCAGCTACTGTGCACCAGATGCTTAGCCTATGCTTTTTGGCATTATTAGGTGAACCCAGAATGGTCTCCGTGGAAAGGCACAGGTTTACCCAGGATGGTGTGGTAGTGATGGTGTGGTAGTGATGGTCTTGGAGAAGAAGAGGAGAACCTTGGACTTCTCAGGAAGAAGTGGCGGCTCCCTTGTTCATTTCTTATCGCTACTGTTTAGCAGACACTCTGCAAACCCTTTTTCTGGGAACATGGCCATCATACAAGCAAATGAGACATCTATTTCATCTGAACCAACCATGTTATTTTGACCCTGTCAGTTACCTGTAGATTCTCCCACCATTGTACTTGTTTCTTTCTCAACCAATTATATTTTAGCTCTCAAGTTTTGACAAGCTTGAGTCTAGTATTTCTATTGGGATCCAGGGAGCATATGTAGTGTTCTTTCTTGTTTTTTTTTTTTTGAGTTTCTTATTGCGGTAAATGCTAAGGAGGGAACAGAGGGAGAAGGAGAGAGGAAAAGCAAAGCAAAACAAAATAGAAGAGCAAAAATGAAGAGCATTTAGTCGATTCTGCATTGGTCCTCCTTGCTGGGGAGCACACACCAGCCAGGTCACCTGATTCATCGAATTGTGATTTTACTGACAGTCATTTCCACCCTGTTGGTATCCTCAGAGGTTGTCGTGAATGGGGCTGATGCCATCTTTCACTAGCTCCATGTGGCTGGCTCTTCTATCCTGGCACTCCTTTCCTCGTCGTCTCCCCAGCCTCCCTGAGATTCTCTATGGCACACGTAGCCCGTCTTGGCAGAACCTGCCACTCTTCAGCGCCTCCCTGGGGCCCTCGCTGGGGCCCCTGGTCAAGCTACAGTAGAGAGGTGGTTACTTAAGCAGTAGTTCCTGATAGAGACATAAAGATGACCCCTAATTGGATGATAAAATGCCCCAATTGCATCTAAAAACATAGACTTCTGTGGGGAAAACTGTAGCTTACAGCTCTTTACTTTCTTTTGGTTTCTTCTCATTTAACTGTTTTTTCATCTCTCTGCTGGCTTTCCCCCCCATCTTTCTCCTTTCTGTAGAATAAAATGTGGACCATTCACTATGATGCTATTTCTTAGCTGGAAGATAAGAAAAGATGGAAAAATCTGGGGGAATGGGACTTTCCTTAAGGAGTTGGTGTTTCCCAAGAGCATTTCACAATTAGTGTATCTTCTACTTTACCTGAAGTCTGCAGTCACTCAACAAATTTTGTGCTGTTTTATGTGTTAGGCACTGTGGAAATCAATGAACTATGATTCCTGTCCTTAAGGAGAGAAACACATACAGGATAGGAAAATCGTTTACCATATCTAGTAGATATAAGGCAGTCAGCTAAGAATTGCAGAGGAAATCAAGTGTATTGAATATTATCTCTCTCTCTCTCTCTCTGTATATTATAGATAGAAATAAAATTTATTTTACAAATAAAATAGAAATGTATTTCTTATGGTTCTGGAGGCTGGGAAGTTTACGATGCAGACAGGTTTGGTGTCTGGTGAGGGCTGACTTCTATGCTTCAAGATGGCACCATGTTGCTGTGTCTTACATGGTGGAAGCAAGTGTTTGAATATTCTAAGAATCTGAAGGTAACATAGTATTATGGAAGATATATCCAAGATGGTGGCAATGGTCAAGGAGGGTGCAGGTGAAGCATGTAACCTTCAGCTTTTGTATTATTTGAGCTTCTCACTGAAAAATAAATAGGATTATCCCAGTTGGGGAAGAGGGAAAGGATTTTCGCGAGCAGATTAGAGAAGTAACATTGAAAACACAAAGTGTATTTCCTGACAGATGGTAGCACTAGGTGTTGAGGAGACGTAACTAAGTTCTCCTGCAGTTTGTGTGTTAAGGCAAACAGAAATGTAACTCAGTAAAACAGTTAAGAAATTTAAGGCCTTTGGAGAGCGTAAGTATCGAGAAGGCACATCTTCTACATGGTTGGCGGGCAGAAGTTGCAAGGTCGGGTAGAGGGGAGGATCAGTGCCAGGTCTAGTGGGTTTCCTTTGCAAGACCTGCTTTCTAGCAGATCAAGGTGTAAGCCTCCAATGGGAGGTGTGCCTGGGATAGTTGCAGAGAAGTGGTTCAGAGCTCACACTGTAGAGTTTAGACAGTACCAGCTGCCGTACAGGACACTACACATTTCTAAATTTGAGTTTCTGCACATGTAAGGAGCAATAATATGACACCTGCTCATTCCGTTGAAATGCTCTGGGGTGCACATGCAAGAAAGTCAACTCACAGTGACTCCACCAAGTACGAACATGTGTTATCTCCCCTAATCCGAAGTACAGAAGCCACGTGATCAGAGGTGGCATGCCGTAATCGGACTCTGCTTCTCTGAGATTCTCTATCAGTTTTTCCCTCAATTTTACCCTTTTTCCTTTTTTCAAAATGGTTGTATCATGTCTGGACATCATAACCAGATAGCCTATTGCTAGACAAAAAAGACACCTTCTCTTCCTGTATGTATCTCTCCGGAATAAGGTTACCTTTCCCCGAGGCCCCTCAGCACATTTATGCTGACATCTCATTGGCCTGAAGTGTATCAGCTCTAAATAGCCTCAAATGAAGTATCTGGGATCACCATGATTGGATGTTTAGGCTATGGAAGAGCCACAGGCCAGTACACAGCTGTCTCCAGTGATCAGCACATAGACCACTGGTCAGAGGTGACATGCATGATCTGGCTCTTTTTCTCTGAGATTCTCTGTCAGCTTTTCCCTCAGTTTCACCTTCCTTTCTCCTTTTATCAAGGAGGTGGCAGCACTTCCAGACATCATAACCAGATAGCCTATTGCTAGAGAAAAAAGATACCTTCTCTTCCTATATATGAGAGCCCAAGAGTGAGACCATTTCTCACACTCTCCACTCTCTGAATTCCCCCTTCCCTCACATCCGTCCCTATTACCCAGAGCCTCACTTTAGGGTCCTCATTAAGAGATTGATGAGGCAGACAAATACCAACTTTAACATGAGACCATTGGGTTTCAGATTCAGGTTACCACTATTTATCTTTTCTGTAACCTTAAATGAATTGCTTGAGTTCTCTGAGTCTCAGCTTACCAAGCTCTAAAATGGGCATAACCGTATCAGTTTGTTTTTTCTATTATGGGGAGAACAGACTTAAATAACGAATGTGAAGTCCCTGATTGAGTAACTGCCTTCTGAAGACAGAGGCTGAACTGCCTCATTGGACGGGGAGGCCTGGGGTTTTTTACCTAGTGCAATGGTAGGCGATGACAAAACTGAGCAAAGATGTAACTAGAGAAAAGGTACTCAGTGCAGCCTCTGCGAGCTTCTGCCACTTCCTCTAGTTTTCTAGAAAACCACCGCTGATCACTCTCTGTCCAAATGAGCTCAAGTGACCATAACCACCAGTATTTGTAACAATGCACCTATTGACTTCTTATTTCACTAGGTATCCAGATTTATTATCCCTCAAGGTAAGCATTGATTTTACCTTTGTCTCAGTCAATATTTACCTCTGAGGTCAATACATGTGGATATTCACCTCAGCTGCAGTCAATATCCATTTCGTATTACAATATATGATGTGCATATGTGAAAATAGAGAACCCCACGGTACAAAAAGGGTCTGGTAGTCAAGGAAGCTTCCTGCAAAACGGATGCGTTTTTTTTTTTTTTTTCTGGTTTTTTGCCTGTTTGTTTTTACTGTATCCCTCTTTGGAGGTCAAATTCTATTTCACTAAATGGGAAATAGGTGTCTTCTGCCAATAGGTGGAATTTAGGGAAGGGTAGCATGATAACAAATAAACATTCAAGCGGCCACTTAATGATACTGAACTGAACACCATTTCTCAGAAGTCCCTGCATTAAATGAGAGCCATAAGAACACACACATGCATGCATATTCCACGTGTGATGAGAATGGAAGCGTTACATAGAGCTCAGAGTTCTTGCTCCAGCCCCTGCGCTTGCAGAGAATCAGGTGTATGAAGCAGGAGGAGGAAGACAAGAAGCAGCAGGCAAAGAAAAGGAGGAGGAAGCATCAGGGGAGCTGCTTTTTTATTCTCCAAGCCAGAGCTGGAAAACAAGGCCTGGCATACTTCGGCAGGCCTGGATCAGAGCCTAGGTGTGTGAATTAGGAATTGCATTTGGCTGCTACTAACAAGGACCCCGTCATGGTGGTAAATTCTTCCACATAAAAGAACAGAAATAAGGTGTCCCGGGCTGGAGTGGCCACTCCACCATCATTGATGACCCAGGCTTCTTTTCTCTTTCTGCTTTGTGAATTGCTTCCATCTTCAAGATTACTCGTTGTCCAGAATGACCAGGCAGCAAGAAAATGAACAGGACGAGAGGGCCCCGACTTCCTGCCTTTTGAAGAGCTTTCTCAGAAGCCCACTCAACACTAGTGCTTCTCTCTTAGTGGTGGTGATTTAGTTGCTTGACCACAGCGAGCTGCCAGGGAGGCTTCAGGAAAACTTGATCCTGATTTTTTTTTTTTTTTTTTTTTTTGGTAGAGATGGGGTCTCACTATATTATCCAGACGGGTCTCAAACGATCCTGCCACCTCAGCGTCCCAAAGCGCTGGGATTACAGGCTTAAACCACCAAGCCTGGCCTGATACTTTCTTGTAACTGGTACTTTCTTGTAACTGGCAGTTTTGTCTGCCCAGCATTTCCCCCCATCACGCTTGCACTATCCCGTTTTCCTTTGACAGGCACCTGTCTTCCTCTTCAGGGCTGATTGCAAAATCACAGCCATTCCTGCCAGCTGTAGAGGTGGGCGCATGATCCAGGTCAGACCAGTCACACTTCCCGGTTCCCGGCCACAGTGCTTGATGGAGGAATGAGCACATATAACACCAGCACAGTCCAAGCCTTTCCAGGGACTTGGCTGCCACAGTTGATGTGGGAGGCGTTCGCATAACTTCACCGCACACAGCTAAGCTGGTGATCCTGCCTCTGGGGAGCATCTTTCCGGGGTACCACAGAGGAAAACTGTTGCAGAAAAAAAAAATTAGACTGATAGACAAAGAGAATCAGAAAGGAGCAGAGATGAAACAGAGCCAGCAGGAGTACAAGCTGAGGCTATCCTGGGAGCCCCTAGGTCAGCTGGCCCATGCATTTGTAAGCTGTAGACAACCAACCATCATCTTTGGGTTCCTTCTTTAGCAATTGGCGTTGGAGGTGGATGACCTTAGTTTGTGTCTTCGTCTCACCATTATTATATCCAGCTTGTGTAACCAGAAACACTATTTAAATCTCAGTTGCGTCTCCCCTCAATTGGGAAAATACCGCGAGGCCAAGCTGCGATCATGTTTATGAAGTCCACAGCAAGAGCATGATAAAGTCTCTTCTCAACTTCTTCTCCCGGCTTATTAATGCCCATCCTTTAACCTGTCCTCTGCTTTATCTCTTGGAATCCTTAGGGCCGTTTTAACCTCATATAGGAAGCAAACTTATGTGTATGTGTGAGTGTGCATCAATTCCTATGGCCCTCTGCAGCCTTGCAAAGTCAATTCCGGAGATTTCCCTAGACTGTGTTTTTTTTTTCAGCAATACTCTGCAGCAACAAAACTCGATCTGCTCATATTTTTGCATCGGCTGCAGCAAAACCTGTCCTCTTTGTGGTACCTAACTCCTGACAAAGAAGGCTGAGGAAAGGCCTCTGAACTTGTCCTGTTCTCTCTTGGCTGGGCTTGCCAGCTGGCACACAGCATGCTCTGACCACTCTGCCATGGTGCAAATCCCTTACAGAGAGTCTAAATCACCTTGCTCGAACTCATCATTTTCAGGTGGCATAAGCCATGGTATCCCCGCCTCCTTTCCTGGTTGTTTCCAGAAAGAGCTGATAGTGCCAGTGCGGTGGTTCTGTATTCTACAGGGCAGCTTGGGGCCTCAGGGCTTGTCGTGGGCCACATCTGGCTCCTTTGTCCCCTTTTATAACTCATAGGCTACCTCCAACTTGACACTTATTTAAGTTTTTATTTATTTTATTTAGCATTCAGAGAACTCTATAGCCTCAGTCTCTTGGGATGTAAATTAAAGCAATTTCATTTTCATATTTCTCTGTTTCAAATCCCTCATTGTTTATTTAAATAGCAGCCGACGCACATTGCAAGTAAAGAATTATAATTAAGGGAACCAGAAGGGCCTGTCTCTCAGGAAAACGGTGATTTCCTTTCACAATAACCCTGTCCTTACTGTTGAAGACTTGTGGAAGAGGGACATGGCCCAGGGAAGCAGGGTGGTTTGAGGAAAGTGCTTTGTCAAGAGGCTTGGGCACCCAGGGGTAGAATCTGCCATGTGCATTGTTCACAGAGGTAGTTGCAGGAGAAGACTTTGCAAACCTTGCAAAAGCAACCTCTGAGGATGGGTACACATAGACTTCATGGCAGGCTGCTGAAATCGATTTGGAGTCAGATATCATATTCCCACCAGGAGGTTTAGCGATCGTGGGACCCGGAAAGTGGCAAGGCAGGAGTTTTTTTCCTTTTTCCTGAATCTGGAACCAAAGCCTGTCTTTTTCTTGGTCACATCTGAGTCTTCTCCTTGCCTCAGTCCTCCCCGCTGGCAGCCACATGACCCCTGCATCCTTCCTGCCTGTGGAATGCAACATTGGTTGGGACCATGCATTGATCAAAGATCTGTCATGTCTTTGCGACTAACATGCTCACTCATGACTTCACGTGGCTGTGTACGAGACCACATCTTTCAACGGTGAGGTCCTCAGTCTCTCCCTCCCCAGCACATGTAACTATCAGAAATATACAGTGTCCTTAAGACAGGGCAGGCAGGGCCACCTACCCCCCATCGGCCAGTGGGGATGTCTCGATGGTGGGCCATACTCAGAGTGGCCCTGGGATGGCTCCTCAGATAGCTGCTGGCAGAAACCAGAACTCAGTACGTGTATACATGGCGTAATGATCGAATCAAGATAATTAGCATAGCCATCATCTCAAACATTTATTATTTATGATGAGAACATTGAAAAGCCACTTTTTGAGCAATTTGGAAATATGCAATGTGTTGTTAACTATATTCACCTTCTGTACAACAGGACACCAGAATTTATTCTTCCTATCTAAAATATCAAATAAAAATAAAATAAAACTAGGCCAGGCATGGTGGCTCATGCCTGTAATCCCAGCACTTTGGGAGGCTGAGGCAGGCAGATCACAAGGTCAGGAGATCAAGACCACCCTGGCCAACATGGTGAGACCCGTCTCTACTAAAAATTCAAAAAATTAGCTGGGCTTAGTGGCACATACCTGTAGTCGCAGCTACTCAGGAGGCTGAAGCAGGAGAATCACTTGAACCCTGGAGGCAGAGGCTGCAGTGAGCCGATACCTGCCACTGCACTCCAGCCTGGGCGGCAGAGCAAGACTCTGTCTCAAATAAATAAATAAATAAATAATAAAAACAACTGAAAAGAAACCTGAGCTCAGGAGAGTAGAAAAGGGGGTAAGACATGTACTCAGGATGAGAAAAATGCTAAATGGTGGGAATGAGAAGTTTTGTTCTTTTTGTTCTTTCTGCTCATTTTTTATATTCAAAGTTTCTAATCATGTATGATGTGTGTGTGGATATATATATTATACATGATAGGCTTTTTTTTAATGTGAAAGAATATAAGAAAAAAGGTGACATCTTTTGATGACATCAACAAAACAAAAGGTGATATCCGAAGTCTCCCCGTGTGGTTAGATACCTTGGGTTCACCCTCTTCTTCTGTTCATTTGTTTCATGCAATAGAAATGTTTTGAGATCCTATGTGGCCGGGGTCTGTGCTAGGCCTGGGTCTACAGCAGTCCCCTGTCAGGGTCTTGGCCTGACAAGAGCATATGTTATGCTGGGGAAGATGTGCATCGGTGAAGATGTAATCAGGATCACGGTGGGATGACGGGCTGCTGTGGCCACCCACAGCAGGAGTAGCCAGCCCCGCCTCAGCAGAGCACATCAGAGTGCTGAGGTGACTTCCAAGATTGAGGTTGGGAGGGTCGTGACAGGTGTGCAAGATAGTGTTTTTCAAGACTGGGGACGTGATAGGTGTGCAAGGACCAGCCAGCTGGAGTAGAGGACACCCAGACATATGGGACATGCTGATTGCAGGACCCACTTTTCAGGGGGAACATGGACTTTGTAGTTAGAAGCCAGCAGGGAGATCCAGCTGTAGGGTAAGCCAGGCCTAGTGGAAAGTAAGCCCAGCCCTTTCATTAAGTGGATGAAGGGTACATGGTGAGTGCACAGCCATAAAAATAAAATCATAAAAATCAGCAGGGTTTCGGCTGCTCTGATCTCTCTACTCTGATCTCAGCAGTGATGGGGCTGGCTTGGAGGGTTGGGGATCACACGCACACAATCAGCCAACTCTCCAAAGCACCCCGCATACTCTCCTGACACCGTCCTCAAGAAACATGCAGTCTAAGTAGTAACCATGTTCTAGCTATGCAGATGCAATTTAACGGCAAATCCTTTGAGCCCCCAGCATGCCATCCCCTCCCAGCCTCGCTGCTGCTCCAGGCCGTCTTCCGCATGGAAATGCTGGAGCCAGGTGCTTACAATCTGGGCACTACTATCTTTATGAAAACTGCTCCTGAACTAATGCTTTGTTTATTTTAACTGGTGCCTTTATAGAGAGAAAACAGCTTAGCAAGCATTTAGTAGGGTAGATCCACAGTCTCTGGGAGCCCTTGGGAAGTGCATAGGAGCTGTTTGCATTGCTTTTTCACTCCTTCATATATTAATCAAGGAGTCAATCAGTTAAACAGATACTATCAGCACCTACTGTGTGCCAGGCGGTGTACTTGGGGCCACATGCACTGCTGATTCATCCATTTGGACTGTACAGGGGCTTTTTTCCCATTACTGTCATTTGGGTAGGCAGTGAGTCCCTACATCATGGGGCATTTTCTCTTGCACCATTTTCTGAGCCACATCCTTGGTCCACCCATCCCACTACTATATGCTTTGCTTTCTGCTTTCAGAAACAATACTGGTGACCTGTTTTAAGGAAAGTTAAATAGCCAGAACTTAGATTTTTCTGGAAACCTTCAAATCAGCCTCATTAGATTAAAAGAAATTTTTCTGTTCTCTTTCATCTCTCATGTTTTTATGCTTTCCAAACCCCTAAACTGTGGTGCTACAGTGATCTTCTATAGCACGATTTGATAGTCAATACTTGCTTAATGGGAGTCACAATATATGAGATTATTTTATATATATATATATTTCCTTGAATATGCTGAATGTTTGCTAAGCCCTCCCCTTTTTTTTTCTTTTTTAAATTCAGAAATTTCTAGTTGTGTTTATTCCCCTCGTCAGCATACTTTATCATATCAAAGCCTTTTCAGACACTGTAAAACTACTGAGTTATGTTTGGGTCATGTTTTGCGGTATGCCCTTTAATACTGTAGCTTTAGAAATGCAATTTTCAGCCTCTGCTTATTAGAATATGATAAAGTATTCCTGGTCTGTGTCCAGCTCCACTAATCTCCAGACTGCGCTTCATGAATTAAGCATGAAGATTTTAGTCAATGTGCTTTCAAAGACCAATGTTTAGGGAATCATGGATTTTCTACAAGCTGAGGGAGAAATCTATAATAGGAGGAACTGATTTTCAAACATCATCTTCTCAAGAAGAAATGACCGGTTCTGGCCCAGAAACAGAAAATATTTCACTATCAGAATATTCTAGAACCAGTTAAAACCACATTGTGCCGTTTAGTTTAATAAACGGATTGTGTTTTAAGATGTGTAAGACTGCCTGTCACGTGGGAGGATTTCAAATGACTGCTTATTTTGGAACGCTCATGTAGATTGGGTTAAAACCGAGAGGAGAATGCAAATTGAATTTATAAGGTATTATTAACTTCTTCCTCTTTCCCACTCCCTGCCCCCTGTGCATTTTGGTTCATGTTGCTCTGATACAATTCAGCAAAGAGCCGGATACCTCTTGCCATGGTGAGAGCTTACTTGGGGAAGAGACTTTGACCAGGCAAGCCCCGGGGTCGACGCCATCGGAGACATCAACACGTCTCCTGGTTTGGTGCATTTTGTGGCAGTCAGCAGGCAAACATTTTGAATATAAATCTCCTTTCAAAAAATCACAGCACTGGTTGACACAGGGGCATTTGTCCACTTAAATGCAGAAGGAGAGTTAATATCCCAGTGACTACAGTGTGCCTAGAAAGGGCACCGGAGGCATTTTCATCTGGGGCAGCCCCTGGAGGCTTGGCTTTTGTGCTTGGTGACACCTTATCTGTCCTCTTCATTGTCACCTTCATACAAATACATAGCTTTTAGTGAGCAGCTACTCTGCCTGGCACTGTTCTAAACACGTGACACCAACAGCTCACTCAAATCTCTTCTTAACAGGGAAACTGAGGCAGAGGGAGTTTCAGTGACACACTTAGGCAACTAGTAAGTGGCAGGGTTGGCATCGAGGTCAAGACTGATTGGACCCCAAACTTTGAACACTCAAACTCCACATTGGGGCTCGCCATGTGTTTCATGCCAGGAAGGTGTCCGATTAGAATCTGAATGCCAGCTCAAGCTGCTCTCAGCTAAACTCCCGGGGTTGCTGATGGAGACGCTCATCCCCTCCTCCAGTTCCTGGGTGAAGACAGAAATGTAAATCACCTCCAATAAGGGGGCTGCTTCTTGCACGTTTTCCTTCAGAAAAAGAGAAAAAAATCCCAGCTTCGTCTGACTTTATCTGTGAACCTCTGGGATCTCTCAGGGGCTTTAAATTAATCAATCCATCCACAGACACTGAACTGAATCTCCACCTTGGGCTTGAGACTCTACAAAGTGCTTTAAGTGGGAAGGAAACCAAAGGGCCTGCTGCCCTGCCGCCGCTATAGCCCCAGGCTGCGGCCATGGCTGGGGAATTGGCCTGTCAGTTCAATCACACAGTCCTTCTGACTGGTGTTTTTCACTAAGCTGGCCCCGCAGACAGCCCTGGTCATGTGTAGACACGGCCTCAGGAGGGCCACATTCCTCTCATTTCCAGGCCTCACCATTTAATTGTTCCTGACACAGTTTGGGGAGAAATGCACTGAAACCTAAGCCTGCCAATCACCATTGGCTCCTCAGTCTCTGAGTGGCCCCTGAAGAGATAGGCTGGACCAGGGGACATCCACAGATGCCTTGTGTTTAGGAAGCGGGGTGTGGGGAACAGAGGGATAATTGTTACCACTAGGCGACAGGGGGTGCTGAAGGGAGTCTTGGTCTCTGCACTCTGGGTCTTGCCAAAACATCTGGAAATGGGAATGGTGTCTGTCTTGAGGAAGGGACAGTGAGCTCTCTACATGACAGTGGCTGAACCACCCCTTTCTAGGACTCAAAGGTGCCATGGGGCTGAATTAGTCTCTTTTCTTGCTGCTAAAAAGACATACCCCAAACTGAGTCATCGAAACAGGAAAGAGGTTTAATGGACTCACGGTTGCACGTGACTGGGGAGTCCTTACTATCATGGTTGAAGGCAAGGAGGAGCAAGTCATGTCTTACATGGATGGCAGCCGGCCAGGAAAGAGCCTGTGCAGGGAAACTCCCCATTATAAAACCATCAGATCTCGTGAGACTTATTATCACCAGAAAAGCATGGGAAAGACCCGCCCCCATGATTCAGTTACCTCCCACCAGGGCCCTCCCACAACACATGGGAATTGTGGGAGCTACAATTCAAGATGAGATTTGGGCAGGAACACAACCAAACCATATCACGGGGTCACCTGTAGGTTACTGTAAATAAAAGAAACAGACCAGGTGGAGACAGCATCGCTGGAGGGGGAGCCCCGGGTAAGGGAAATAGACCCCAGCTTCAGCCATTTGTTACTGAGTTGTTTTTAGCAGAATCAAGGATTTTTATGTGTCGTCATCTACATTTTAAGTATTCTTTTCTTTTCTTCCCCGACCCCCAACCCTCCATGGATTAAAGCATGCATGCCTACAGAGTGAAAGGCGAGGGTGGGATGCCTCTTATCCTAGGGACCATCCTTGTTTTGTGGGGCCAAAGTCCAGCCACTTAAAGGACCTGTCTTGTGACTGCACAGTTACTCAGTGGCATAACTGAGACTAGAATCTTCTGGATTCTTCGATTAAACCCTAGTAGCTGATGAAACTGCCACAAAATGACAGCAGGACAATAGAGCCCTGAAAGCCTAGTAAACCCTGAACTCCCGACACTGAGAATTGTAGGTTTGACTTCTCCGTACGGCCACCCTGGGAGCGCTCAATCCTTTGAACCGAATGTTTAGAATGGGCTCGGAGGTCACTGAGTGGGTGACTCACGCCTAGAATCCTCTGCCTAACGTGGCAGGAAGAAGCCTGCATGATACTGTGGCCTTCTCAGTCTTTGCTGAGCATCTGTAATCTGTAGCTTTGGATGTACCTGGGCAAGGAGACTGCCTTTCCCTCTAGAGCCTCCGCCATCCCTTTGTCACTATTTAAAGCATTGTCTGTGCCCTCAACCTTGTTCAGTTTCCACAGAATACTTGGGGCAGAGGTGTAAATACCCTGATTTTATGGGTCAGGCCTCCAGGACTCAGGGAGTGTAAGTGATACGGCTCCTTGCACAGCAGGGATACAGAGGGAAACCCAGATTCGCCTCTCTGCCGCCCAAACAGAACTCCTTTATCACCAAGATTGCTTTCTTCTTCAGTGCCACCTGCCTCATTTTACTCATCCAGAAGGAATGGGTCCCTCTTTGCTTCTCTGGGTTTTTGTGAAAAGCAACTTGCAAACTCTGAGTTCTGTGGACAGTTGGAGACACATCCAGGAGAGACATACAGGCTTAGCTCTAGAAGGAAGTGGGGAGGACACAGGAGCTTCGGGGCAGCTGTGTTGTCTTCCTTGACTGGGGTGTAGGATTTCCCCAGCAGAGAGGGGGAAAAAAAAACACAGAAAGGAGAATAGAATCTATTATGTCCAAGCCACCATTATTCACACACACACACACACACACACGCACGCGCGTGCACACACACACACCCCTCCATTTTCCAAATTGTAAGTTTTCTTTATCTAAGCACTTTCTGTTAAAAGGGAAGAAATAGCTTCACCCGTGGTGTAAAATACATACTTTCTAATGTAAATCAAGAAGCTATTAATACCGTAATAAGAATGTGGTAGTATATTAATTGATGGAAATTGTAGAGTGGAATATTCATAATCAGCGGAAGTCTTTTCTCTGGAAGGAACAAAGGAAGGCTCAAGTTAGGGAGACAGCAGTGGTATTGTTAGCAGGCTATTTCAGTGATTTTCTCTGCAGAAGAGTAGGGAAAGGTGCAATTCCAGCCGGGAGTATTCAGCTCCACAGATCCCTACTTGGAGTTACTCAGCCCCGTTTTAAGTGCTGGGCTGGGCTTTGCCTCATGACCCAATTGTTTCATTAGCGAAATCATCGTGGGTTTCATTTTGCTTTGGTAATGGTGCAGTGTCTAACAATACATTATAGAGTCGGGCAAACAATGTTTTTGTATTGGGGATACAATGAAATATCTTATTAAAACGCAGACTTACTTAGGTTCCTGAAATTAGAGTCTTACTTGAAATGGTTCCATTGGGCTTAATACACTGTTTTGAATTAATCATACTAGCGAATCTCTTCTTAGAGCATAGAGGACTATGAGAGTTACCTGTTTCTTTCGTATTTTCCCATTCATATTTTTTCCTCCTGTTCTCTTCCAGATAGATTTTTTTTTTTTTTTTTTTTTTTTTTTTTTTTTTTTTTTTTTTTGAGAGGGAGTCTCCATCTGTCATCCAGACTAGAAAGCTGGAGTACAGTGGTGCAATCTTGGCTCACTGCAACTTTCACCTCCCAGGTTCAAGTGATTCTCCTGCCTCACCCTCCCAAGTAGCTGTGACTGTAGGCACATGCCACCATGCCCAGCTTATTTTTTATATTTTTAGTAGAGACGACAGGCTTTCACCGTATTGACCAGGCTGATCTCGAACTCCTGACCTTGTGATCTGCGTGCCTTGGCCTCCCAATGTGCTGGGATTACAGGCTTGAGCCACGCTGCTCAGCGTCTCATGGATAGATCTTATTTGGCTGACAACGAAAGATGTGGTGCTAGTAGCATCATCCCTTTGCATGCAAAAGATAAACCGGAATCTAAGGCAGCCATGTCCTTCCTGCCTGGTGTTTCAGGCAGATACTCTGATCTGATAATTGTCATGATAGGAATAGTAAAAATAATAATAAATCATAGTTCTTTGATGATCACTTTACTGGATGCTGGGCACTGCACCAAGTGGTTTACATGGTTTATCTTGTAGCGTCCCATTTAAGCCTGCTAAGAGTAGGTGCTGTCATTCTCTCCATTTTACAGATGAGAAAACTGAGGCTTAGGGAAATTGAGTCATTGTTGCCAATCCCAAGATTTTGACTCTCTGCCGTCTGTTCTGCGTACACTTTTTACTTGCCACTGCTGATTAACTTTAATTTCTCTTTTCATTTCCCTGATCAGAACTGTTCTGTGTTCTTAGATTCAACAAGATGTTATACTCTGCCTTGTTAGTCTCTAGCCTGTTTTCAGAAATTGTAAATGGGGCGGGGGTAGAGTAGTAAATGGCAGTCAGATGGTTTTTTCTTCTTCTTCTTCTTCTCCTTCTCCTTGTTCTTCTTTTCCTTCTCCTCCCACTCTTCCTCCTTCCTCTTTCTCTCTCTCTCTCTCCCTTTCTCTCTCTCTCCCTTTCCTTCCTTCCTTCCTTCCTTCCTTCCTTCCTTCCTTCCTTCCTTCCTTCCTTCCTTCCTTCCTTCCTTCCTTCCTTCTTCTTTTGCTGTCTTTCTTTCTTCTGTTGCTGTTAAGCCTCTGCTTCTGGGCAAGGCTCTGTGCTGTGCTGTTAACAGCTTCTCTGCCACACCTGGAAAAGTGCCAGTGTCATTTTCATGGCACAGATATGGCGTCGGAAGCTCATAGTTGAAGTCACCAGATAGTGACTTGAGGAACCGGAAGGTTCCCTTGGACCTATCCTCTGACCAGCCTCAACTGCACCAAAAAGATCTCATTCTGATAATCAGGGATGAACCTCCATTGGTTGATCTAGCAAACTATATGCATTAAAAAAAATAACATCCTGCTGGGCGTGGTGGCTCATGCCTGTAATCCCAGCACTTTGGGAGGCTGAGGAGTGTGGACCCCTTGATGCCAGGAGTTGGAGACCAGCCTGGCCAACATGGTGAAACCCAGTCTCTACTAAAAATACAAAAATTAGCTGAGTGTGGTGGCAGGCACCTGTGGTCCCAGCTACTCAGGAGACTGAGACAGGAGAATTGCTTGAACCCGGGAGGAGGAGGTTGCAGTGAGCCAAGAATGCACCACTGTACTTCAACCTGGGTGACAAAATGAGACCCTCTCAAAATAAATAAATAAATAAATAAATATAAACTAAAAAAATTATAACCTGTAATGAACTTGAAAGACAACACTTTGTTTCTCATCTAGTTGGAACAAGTGGGGCTGGGGTGGGGACCGACAAGTGACGGATCACTGTCCGTTTGATTCAGTGTCAATGGGCTCTCTCAAAAATGAGAACCTAGCTGGCACAGTGCCTCACACCTGGAATCCCAGCACTTCAGGAGGCTGAGGTGGGAGCATTGCTTGAGGCTAGGAGTTCACGATCAGCCTGGGCAACATAATGAAACCCTGTCTCTACAAAACATAAGAAACTTTCATGGGTGTGGTGGCACACACCTAGTCCCAGCTACTCAGGAGGCTGAGGCAGGAGGATCACTTGAGCCCAGGAGGTTGAGGCTGCAGTGGGCTCTGATCACACCACTGGGTGACAGATCGAGACCCTGTCAAATAACAAGTTTGATATAAATAATAATAAATAATAAATACACCCGGAAATTTGAAGACACAAATTCAGATGCATGTGGATGGGCCCGAAATATTTTCTTTCCATGTACTCCAATGTTACCACTCCTGGGGTACCCTTCCTTATTTTCTCTGCTGCACCATCGCCTTCATGGTCCACATCCTGTCCTCTTAACCCTGGCCTCTCTAGCACTGGTAATGCTTTAGTGTGGCAGATGTTACCGTCCATGGACACTCCTTTATTCCGCAAGTATTTGTGGAGTCCTCGTGCCAAACACGGTGCTGCACGATGCTCTGAGGGTGGGCAAGACAGACGTGTCTGCTGTCAAATCCCAGAGGCCGTGGTGACAACTTTCACCAGTCTGTTGTAAAAATTAGAAAAATGCAAAACAGTGAGTTTTTCATGAACTACGTTGTATCTGCTTTAAACTGTTTTAGGATTCTGTTCTTTATCTGTTTTTTTTTTTTTCAATGTTAAATACCATGTCCTTTAATACAGATTAAAAATGGTTTCTCCCTCCCTCCCTCCCTCTCTCCCCACCTCTCTCTCTCTCTCTCTCTTCTCCTCCCTCCCTCCCCACCTCCCTCCTTCCCTCTCTTCCTCCCTTCCTTCCTCCTTTCCTTTTCTTACTTCATGCCTCCCTCCCTCCCTCCCCACCTCCCTCCCTCCCTCTCTTCCTCCCTTCCTTCCGCCTTTCCTTTTCTTACTTCATGCCTCCCTCCCTCTATCCCTCCCTCCCTCTTCTCTCTCTTCTTCCCTTCCTTCCCCCTTTCCTTTTTTTACTTCATCCCTCCCTCCCTCCCTCTCTCCCTCCCTCCCTTCCTCCTTTCCTTTTCTTACTTCATGCCTCCCTCCCTCCATCCCTCCCTCCTCTCTCTCTCCTTCCCTTCCTTCTTCCTTTTTTTCTTCCTTCCTCCCTCTCTCCCTCCCTCCCTCTCTTCCTTCCTCCCTCCCTTTCTCCCTGCCTCCCTCCCTCTCTTCCCCCTCCCTCCTTTCCTCCCTCCCTTCTTCCCTCTTTCCCTCCCTCCCTCCCTCCCTCATTGCCTCCCTTCTTCCCCCACCGCCAGCCGTTTTGCATGTTCACTGATTTTCTTTTCTTTTTAAAGCCCGTAATTGGCAACCTTAAGAGTTATTAAGCCTGTGTTAGCCTGGCCATTTTTATTTTTAAAAATTTTACCAGACTTTGAACTCTCAAAGCCAAGGAATGCCCGATGTATCTGTATCTTGTGAGCATGTATCTGTATCCTGTGAGCTTGCCCCTTCATGATATTTGATACTTCATTGTTTCCCCGTTATTTTTAATTGTTGCCCTTGTCTCTCCAGCCTCCTGCCTCCTCTTCCTCTGTCTCCCTCAAGGTGTGTCTTTCTCAGGCATGTCTTACACAATCAATACTTAGTGATTGGACTTCTTAACTCACCCCCGCCCCCCGCCGCCAAAAAAAACAAACAAAAAAACCCAGGTGCCAAACTCGAAGACAGAGCTCACTTCAAGGAAGGGAACGCTTGCTTTTCTGCTCTCCGTGAAAGAGAGGCCAGACCACTCCAGCATTTTTTTTTTTTTTTTTTTTTTGCTTCTTCCCCTTGGGCCTTGTGAAAAGGGTAGTCGGTTTTCTATTACCATCGTATTAACTGAAGAATGGAAAATATGCCCAGAGTTTTAAAAAGTCACCCAATGCCTGCCCTTTCTAGAGCATCCTAATTAACAACCAAAATTTTAAAATTCCATTATTTAGAAGCTCAGCGTTATCCCGGATTCCAGCTTTGCCTCTTGTGCTTGGAGGCACCGTTCTTTGCTTTGCAGCGTTCCTGAGTGTTTACAGATGATGCGCGTAGCGGGCTGTCTTTGCTCTTCATGGGAAGGATAGGAAGAAGCTCTGATGAAGCAGTGCCGGGGCAGGGCAGTGAGTGGTTAAACCGAATCTTCCTCCTGGTGAAGTGGAGCGTGTGTGTTGTTCTTTTCCTCCAGCACCCAGATTTGGCCCTATAACTAATATGCAAGTTCAGATGCCTCCTGAGTGGAGAAAGCAGCTGAAACATGCACATTTCTAATAGACTCAGCATCTGAATTGAATGGGCAGCTTTGCCTGGAGTAGTACTGCAGCTTTTCAAATGCCTTTTGTCAAAATATATACTAGTTAGGAGAAGTGTTCTGCCGAGGGATGTCCGCGTTACCCTTAACATTTATGGCTATCAAACTACCAGTCCACAGGCAATCATAGTTGCTTTTAACACAGTCAACATTTACCACTGGGCTGTTATTAAAACGTAATGCAGTTAGCATAAAAACACATCATTCTGTTCAACAAAAAACTGGCTTTCTTTGTAGTCTCTTTTAATTTGGTGCCATCATTTAGAAAGTTTAGTACATTTAAAATTTCGCATGGTGTATACATTGTTTCTCTTTTACTTTCATATGAAGGATGCTATTTACCATTAATGTAAACGTACAAATGAAATGGTTACTCTGGATTTATTCTTTAGGAAAATTAGAATGTGGAGCTACGTGTTTTTCATAAGTTGGTTACCAAGAGAAGAAAGAAAGAAAGAAAAAAAAAAGGATGCTTGATGCCCTGCTCCTGCTATGTCAGGGAATTTCCTGTACCCTTCATATGAGCCCCTCTGAACAAAAGCAAATCCTGTTGACCTGTCAGCTTAAAAAGACAAGAAATATGCCGGATTCCGCAGGAGCAGGGAGAAAAGAGTGCTGTGAAAATCAGCGACACCAAGTTTGAATATATGAAAGCATCCAGACAAATGTGAAGCCAGCCTGATTAGGACGAGTGAAAGGACATTTCCCCAGAATCGTAGTTTTTTTTTTTTTTTTAAATAGGGGACGCTATTGTCATTCAGAAAGCCCCAGGCTGTTCTGAAAACAGGCAAAAATCAATAGCCCACTTGTTGAGGATAAGTGAATTAGCCTGTGTTGAATGTAACTGAGTACCTGAACACTTCAGTGAGCACGGATTGTTGGGGAGAAAAGGCAATTGTCTTTCTATGTCCACAGCGGTGCACATCGCTGATTAATTATGTCCAATGATCATTTTTGTGCAGGACTAATGGACAGACTCTGTTTTTGTTTTTGTCTGTCTGCCCACAGTGCAGGGAACTGAATAGAGTTCCCCTCTTCTCAGAACAATCCAAATGGTGGCCAGTGGGCCGCGGAAGAGGAACCAGAAATGCAATGATGCAGAATGGATGAAAGTTTGTTTTATTAATTAAAATATAAAATGAGAAAACATAAAGCATAATGAATACGCATTTAATAAAATACGAATTTACTAGAAAATGTAAATTACCTTAATAAAGTGGTTTATCTTTTTAATGCAGCATTTAATAAACCACATTAAAATATATATACAAAATAGTTGTAAGAATCGGGACTCTGTGATTACGTAAATGAAATACACTCACATCTTTTACTTCCTTTCCTTTTGGTTTGTGAGTCCAGAAACTGCAAGAGTTTGGAAAGTTGTCAGCTTATCTTTGCATGTATTTGTGGCTTTTAAAAATTGTTGTAAGGATTTTTATTGGTGCTGAGGGCTGTCGTTTAGCAGGGCCTTGCACCTGAAACCAGCGGAAGGGTCTTAGAGTGTGAACTGTGGTCCTGGACCCGGAGAAATCTCCTAAGAGCTACCATCCCAGCATGCAGCTGGCGTAAGAGGAGTGACACGTCTGTTTTTCCTTTTTTTGGCTGTCTGTAAAGCAGGAGGATATAGGAGTCCTTAAGAGAGAAATTGGAGTAAAGGGTGTGTGTATGTTTGTTTTGGTCAAGGGCAGAGTGTGATGTGTTGGGATGTTTCATCGGAATTTCCATATTTCCATATTTGGATTTCCGTATTTGTTACTTCTCTTTGGAGCATAGAAAATGGTTGGATTTCTATCAGGTACAGTAGGTACATACAGGGCTTAGGCAAGAGCTTGTCAGGGACCTGCACACATATTTGAGACCTGTAAAAATATTACTGGCTCTGAATTATGGCAAGAAAGTCACAAAGTCAAAATGTGTCAAAGTATAATTATCTACAAAACATAATGTTATGTCACTAGTCAACCGCAGCACAAGTCATAGCATTAGATTTCAATCATACTGAATGTGGGGGATGGAAGCATTTTAGTGCATTTGGATATGATGTGATGTGCCTTTCTCCAACTCTGAGAGTGCCTGGAACCCAGAGAGGTCTTCCCTTGCCACGGGCTCTTCCTGGTAAATCTATGTAGAAATACACCATACATGAGACAAAACCCGGAAAAGAACTGTGAAAATACACTCAGGACCGGGATGCTGATACAGTCGTGAGGTTTAGCTTAAAAGGCCAGTTTCTCTTTGGGGAATAATCAGGTCTGTCCTGTTTTGCTTTCTTTCAAAGCCCTCACCATCCATGAAACCAGATTGCAAATCTGTTTGAATCCCCCAAATGCCCGTGCTAAATAACTGTCTCCTTATTCTGTGCTCTTGCTTTAGGCAGAGTGGAAGTTTTACAAAGCTGTGCATTGGACAGTGTTTTTCCTTTCAGCAGGGAAATCAGCAGGGAAATCCCTGCTATTGGGAGGTTCAAGGGCTTCTCTGTGCAGAAATGCCCAGAAAGAGTTAAGTGAGGTAAGTTCATCAGACTTCTGCAGACCCGTACCGTGGAAGGGTCAAGTGCAGGGTCACCAACCGGTTCCATCTTCCTGTCAGTTCCCATCCACCCTTGGTTTCAAAGGGAACAGGCATTACTGACATGACGGGACCTTTACGGTTCCCAGCTGCTCATTTCCAGTACTGTGGACCCAGGACAACTAAAGCTGGGGTCGCCTGCCCTCCAGGGGTTCCTGGGTTGAAGTAT